CGCCGTGGTGCACGGTGCTATGCACGCCGCGTGCTCTAACTGGGACGATCGACCGCGGCGGCTGCGGCCCGCTGACACCTCCATACCACAGCCACCTGCCCCGGCGGTGGACGCACGGTGATGACAGGCCGTGTCAGCAGAGGTCACGGCACGTGTAACGCACCTAACAGCCGCCTGGAGGTGGCAGTGGCCTAAGGTGACAATGTGTCGCCTTTGCTCTGTCACCGACAGTTATTACTGGTTCCAGCAATATCGTGACAGTGACGGCTGGCACCAAACACGTGTGGACTTTCTATGGACATTTGTGAGAGATTATGCATACCTCCCCCGCTGCGTTTGTCTAGCGTGCTCGTGGCCCATTTCTCCATCTTCCATTATTTAATGCCTTTGTTTGAGTTTAGCCACTAATTTACTAATTAATTTAACTCTCCTGCGAAAGCCGCTGTATTGATTCCGCCTTGCACTGCGCAGAATCTTTTCTGCACGATGCTGTCGATCAAATATACCAGCGTGCCGTCCAGTCGTCTCTCTGCAGCAAGGCAATGACCGGCCCGTCGGGTCCTCGCCGGCTAGTAGACCGTGGTCGGCAGATAGCGGCACGTCACGGTAGAGATGGTCGTGTCTACGGTCTACGGGGCAGCAGTGGTCCACGCTGCACTGGTCCGGTGGTCCGGCGGTCCGGGAACCACGGTCCGGTGACTGAGATGCATGGGTGGGCGGCGGCAATAGCGGCCAGTAGCCGGTAGGTATGCTGCAGTTTGCATGGGTCAGGTATTTCCGGCCGCGTTGTTTGACAATGCGTGCAATAGTGAGCACGAATATGTTTATTTGTCGTTATTGGAGCCAAAAAAGTGTACACCCACAGCGGTAGGCTTGTGGTTATTGTCATTGTTCCGTCTTACGGCCCCAGTGGCTGATTGAAAATCGCGCTGTCTCTCGTGATATTCACCGAGTCACTCCGAGCTATGTGTCGGAGGAGGCCGCTCCGGTGCCGATCTGGTGCCGCCATATCGCTGTCTGATGCCGTCCGGTGCCGCTCCCACCGGCTGACGAATTTGGTGTCGTGACCGGCCTCCGTCCGCCCACGATCCATGTCGTCACCGTTCGGCCGGAACAGAGCCGCGGCTGTGCCGGGCCGGGTGATGGTGTGTCGTCATACCGCTGCTTGGTGATTCAGACGGCACAATGGATTGTGGAGCAGTTTACTGCGTGGTGGTGTGAGCTAGCCCGCAGTGACTACTTGTGTGGTAGGCACCGATAAAACAGCGAGGTATGCTTACTGTTTACTGTTTAGGTATCAGGCAACTAAGAAAGTTATGACGCTTGACCTGCCCACGCTGTGAACTAATTTATCTGCAAGTGAGATTGTTGCGGACGTCAAAAATAACTTATTCAGTGATCATTACGCTTTTCGCAATTTGCGCCTTGATAAGGCTCGATCTTACGTCGCACTTCGCACGCTGGCGTCCCCATGTTTCAACTTCTGTCCCTAGATGTCGCTAGTAGTGCGCGCCTGAAGGTATGCTGTGCCGCACAGCACGGAGTTCGATAGCCCCGCCGTGGTAGAACAAAGTAACTCGGCTGACTGTGCGTCGCTGTTTGAGTCTAGTGGACAAAAAAGCCATTCAGCTGCTTATGCAAGTAAGAATAGCTACACGACATTTGCGACGCACGTCTGCCTGTTGTTGGGGACGTTTTACCTACCACCTTTCACCTTTCGCGGGTAAAAGGTGAAGTGACGATGGTTCAGTCACCCACCGTGCTGTCCTGGAAAGCTTCGATTCGTTCCGAGCAGCGCGCTACCGTCGTTCAATAGATGCTACCACAATGACGTGTTAATGCCCCAAAGACTTACGCAACCGTTCTTGGAAGGGACCGGCCCAGCGCCTGTGACGTAGCACCCGCTGAATTACGGCATGTGAATACGATGACGTTATGAAAACGGGCTCTATAATATATGACGTATGTGAAGGTTATTGTACGACTTGTAAGGATATCTGAATTTGTTGATTCTACATGATTAAGGTAAGTCTATTAGACACTATGTGGTTTGCATCAGGTCTCCGTCTCAGAATTGTTGTCAATGTTAAGACATTTATTACAATACGGTGTGTGAATCGTGATCAATATATTCGTTTGCCTTCTGGGAATAAGCAAGTCAAAACTTAGGAAAATAGCTGCACGCTGCACTGCTGGCTATCGTTGTATGAATGTTTTCACTTCTCATATTTGAAGCGCAGGAACGACCGCACGGTTCTTTATTTATGCGCATCATTTTTGATTTTACGATATCTAAAATAATCAAAATCCGTATAAGAGCATCTATCGCTATCGCTCGTATAGATAAATAGATACATCGTACATCGTGCAATCATTTTATTTTTCTTTTCTTTTCTTTTTGTAAAGGCGTGAACACTGGAAAGTGGAATGGGCACTGGCTATACTTGGCCACTTTTGTCGCCGTATGAAACTTTCCCGTCGGAGGTCCCCTGCCTCACATGGAAGTTGTCCACCATGTGGTCGGTTCCCAGCCCCTCCTGTCCAGTGTTCTGTGTCCGTTGTATAGAACACCTCTGCGGGGGCGGAGCGGCGCTCTATTTAGACTAGGGGCGTTCGCCGTAAAGGAGGCGCGTGAAAGGGCCTCTTGAAACAACTGCGGATCGATGGAACGAGTTGTGGGAGAGATGATAGCTTTACATCTGAGCTTGTATGATCCGTGTGAGAACTGTGAAAACCTACGGTGTTTACTAAGTACACAACACCGATAAGTAGGCATTTAAATTGTCACTTGTAAAGAATGGCGAAATTGTATGGCGTATGCTATTTCATTTGTATTTGCTGCAATGCCTGTTTTGGTAGGAAGGAAGATATGCAAGATTGTGTCCTTATAGGTCATGGCACTGCATTGGAGAGATGCATTGTCGATGTCACCCCACTCTGAAAGGCACGATAGATGGGAAAACACCATCGATTATTGACTAGTGCATGCTAGCTCTCACAAAACCGTCCTTTGTCTATTGCCCGAATGTCTACAGCAAGAAACAAAGAAAGTGAGGCGGCCCGGCCGGGTCGCGGCATGACCTAGATTCCTTCCCGAGTCGCATGTTCTTTGCGGACAAATCGAGCTCCAATATAAGCACCGATATAAGCGAGCGTTCCCCGTGTACCGCAGGGCATGTTCGCTGGATGCGACACTGCCTCAACATTGGGGGTGTTGGGAACAGTGCGGTCCTAGTCCCCCTTCTTGGTCATTGGCACTGTACAACTAGTGAACATTCCATACATTACGTGCAATGCTTAAATTGAAGGACGCAAGCATTGTCGTCGGTATTTGTGAGTGGTTAGAACTTATAACTTAAGAGCGCTTACCGAAGGGTATCAAAGCTGCCATGCCCACGATTCCAGTCTAGCTAGCTGTTATTAGGCTTCTGCCTTTCTGCGCTTCCTAGTCCGTTCCTGTCTGAGTCCTCTGCGGGATTTCTGTCGCGAATCGTTAGGTCACCATAGCAACAGCGCCAATCCAGCCGTCAACGCTGGACGCCTGGATAGCCTCGAACGTCCCCGAGGCTGGGAATAAGGATTCCGGATTTATTTCAGGTCACACCATGCACGGTCCGCTGGCGAAATTATCTGAAGCAAACCTAGGGGTAGGTATAGAGCCGGAGTCGTTAAAAAGTTCCCGGAGCAAGAGTCACCGAAACATATTTCTTGGAGCTCAAGATTGAACACTCAACTTCAGTCGGAGGCTCAGAGCTATCTAATGATTTCAACCTCTCAGCTTTCCTGCTCGGGAAAGAAACTGTTGTTGACGTACTAAGTAGGTACTTGTTGGCGACAGACACACCTGCAACAACGCAAATTCACCCTCAAGTCAGAGACAGACCCTACCCACCCTTGTTCTATATAGCCCTTGCTATACACCCTTGCTCGGAGTTCCCCCCTCTACGATGAACACTGTGAAGCTGCGTAGGTTTGCCCGGTGCTGCCGGCTATGGCGCATACCACGTATCGCGTGTCGGCTGCCCAATGTCGCCGTAATCGCTCGATCCCGTGCCTATCGGCCCGCGCTGCGCCGGTGATCGGTCGATCCAGAGGGAGGCACGCGGCGGGGGAGGGGCTGGAAGGGGAGAGTGCACACTAGATGGGAAGAGACCTAGCTTGATGAGAGTCGTCTGAGACCACTTTGATCCAAGATCCTTCGCCTATCTAGCTCACTTAAAACCTCAGTGATCTTCTCAGTGATCATTCCGTTTGTTGTAAAGTATTTTTGGCGTTCCCGTCGTTCTTTTACTGTGGATGCCTGAACTATCCTCATTTTACTTCTCGCGGGCTCAAACAACCTCCCCCACCTCTGGAAGTTCAGTGTTTAAGCATTAGCCCCTCCAGTTCGAAACCAGTAAAGTAGGGCAATTCCCAAAACGGCTCCGTTAGTCTCTCACAGTTAAATTTACAGTGTCAGCAACGGTCGGCGACTTTGCGCGGTCTGTTGGTTTGCCGGCACCTCATTTATCACTCAGTATCAGGGTCACTCAAATTACTGCCCAAACATCGCAGTTTGCCCTACTCCGCCCCCCTAGCCGTCTCTACCGTCAGTGCTTCGCTGCTGGGCGCTCGATCACCCCCTGGAGCTACAACCGAGTGCGTGCGGCCTCCGGCTCAGTGCAGCATTTAACCCTCTACTGCCGTCAGCGAACATGCTAATACGCCGACGGTTATTCCCAGGCGAGTGCGCAATTAAACAAACACACGTGGTCAAATAGGCGAGTAAGCCACACGCTCAGTTTTACAGTCTGTGGAAGTGTGTCAGAATGAAATAATGTAGTGGGGGTCTGCGTTGTTTGAACGATGCGCAGTATCGTGTTAGCGCGGCCCGCCACGCTGAGCGCATTGCAGCAGTAGCTGACGGGTCCCCGATCGACTTAGGACGATGGCCCCTGCAAGCCATGCGGATGGGCCACACCGGCGACGGTACGAGTTGTGAGACACAACACAGTAGCGGCAGTATCGTATATCAATATATTGGCCCATTTGTTCGCCGTTAACACCCTGGAATAGTTGTGTTGAGCGAACTTGGTACTTTGATAAATTACATCCCAGCAAAAACTAGGAAACGAATTCAACAAGCGTGACTTTTACCGTGCACCAACAAAAAATAAAGCAATATAATTCGTGACATCCCCAGTACATCACACATCCACAAAACATAACAACCAAGTATCACCCCTCCCCTCTCCCCCGTCCCAGCTGCAATTCGCTACATTCGTCGTTTGATGAGTTTCTCTAACCGGTGGATTCGGCCGGCCTCGTGCTCGGGGCTGCCGGTGGGGGCGGTGGCGGCCGCCGCGCCGCCCGGCCGGCTGCTGCGGAACACATCCAGAAGCTGGCTCTGCTCCGCCCGGCGCACACCCTGTCGGAGGGTCAGGTCAGGTCAGGGGTCTGTGAAAGGGTCACGGGTGATAGGTCAGTGATCACTGATCAGGGAACAATGAGCGGGTTATGGATCCAGAAGCCTATCGGCGGGTCGAGGACTGGGGACAGGCCGCAGCAGGTGGGATGTGAGAGGTCATCGGTTTTAAAAGAACTTGGGAGAATCCTTCTGACAAGAAGTTAGCAGTGACCGCGTCAGCGATCACAGTTTGGAGGACACTGCTGACATGCCATCATGAGCGACACCTACCACATAGGCGTAGGGAATAAAAACTTCTAAGTGCTCCCAGAGTTTGTTGAGGTAGACCATCATTCCACCCATTAACTGATCATTTCCGTGCCCATCTAACCAAGTGTGACCCTATAGCGCTCTCATGACCCATACTGTGGATGCGTACTGACCTTCATATCGAGCACCTTCTGAAACTCTGCAGCGTCGGACTCTGGCAGCAGCCGGCCGTACTGTTCCACATAGTCGGCCGGACGCTCGTGGGGCGACATCACCACCTTCAGCAGCATCTCAGCGCGCGTCATCCCCTTCACCACGATCTTAGTGTAGCTGGAGAGAGGGAGAGGGAGGTGTCAGCGGGGGGAGAGAGAGAGAGAGAGAGAGAGAGAGAGAGAGAGAGAGAGAGAGAGAGAGAGAGAGAGAGAGGTCATCCCCTCCCTTCACCACGATCTTGGTGTAGCTGGACGGAGAGAAGGGGAGAGGGCTGTCAGTGGGAGGAAGGGAGAGAGGGAGGGGAAGTTTTTTTATACAACATCAGTTAACTTCGTCTCACAATGCAGCTCGAACATGAGATAACATAAGAAATAACGGCAGTGGGATAGATATAGATCGGAAATCGCACAAACGTTTTAACAAATACAGCAAATTGCACATTACAAACACAGTTGTAAAATTTGTCATTTAGACCATGCAAGTAATCATTATACGTCCACGTACTTAGTGCGTGCCCACAGCAGAGCTGAGAGTTATTACATTTTTTTTTTTACCTTTGACTGCACTTCTTTACGGCTATTCTCAGGCAGTTTTATTGGCAGTGCAATACAATGTCGTCATAGGGCTTATAAACGACAATCAGCCATAGCAGTATAATCTGCCAAGACCAACAACGCTATTGAACATCGGCACAATTAAAATCACTTTTTTGTGGCAACTTAGCGAGGGGATTCCATTCCAAGAAAGACCATCATACATAAGGCTACCCACCGACTTCTTACGTAACTGACCGTTGGCCAACGCGGAATACAATAGCTTCCTCATTCCGACCCGAGGCCACTATTTGCACCCCACTATAACTCGGCACTTTTCAATCATTTAACGTGACCGCCACGCCATGCCAATTTGCCAGCCTCGGAACAAAGTGTCAACTTTAAAGCATTACACATGCACGGTTTAGGTGTAGGTTTAGTATGTTTAATCTGGGCCTCAAACCGCAGTGCCATTCCAAAGAGTTCCATTATCTTACTATCAGTCACCTTACGTGAAGCTATGCTGCGTTGATCACGTCGATTATATAACTTTACTCGCTTTTATGTAACGGTACGCACCGGCCGATCAATACTTTACCTAGCATCACGTCACTTTTAGCGTCACGTCACGTCAGTCGTCACTTCCGGAGTACCGGCACGTCTCATGACTTACCTGGCGGGCGCGTTGCGTTGCACCTGGCTGCCGAGAGAGGGCAGGTCGAGCAGCTCCGTCTTCAGTGAGTGGGTGTCCAGCAGAAGCTGTTCGGCTCCCACTGTGCTCACGGGCTTACACTTGTAAATGTGCTGGATGAACTTCGGGATAAACGAGCTGAAACACAGTCGGTGGAGTTAGATAAACAGGCATCTAATATTGCTTCGTTAACCCGAATGCATAGAAGCATGTATGTAATATATTGTTGGGCGTGTTTAAGTACAAACTGCATTAATCATTGGCTGCAACGGCAGAAAAATACGAGTGGCCTCATCGACTACCGTTAGTAGTGAGGCTCTGCGGTCGTTCAAGCTACTACACCATTACCACCACTACCTATGGCACCATATCAGCTCTGTATCCCAAACATTAACCCGCGCCCTGCTGGGGGGGGGGGGTGTTTGACCCCCCCCCCCCTTGTGGTTTTTTTGCGAATATCTCAAAAACGGCGGCTACACCTTATCATACATCAATTCTACACATGTTGTGAAAATTTCAGACCAAGGTCATTCAAGGTCAGGTCACCAGGTCACTTGAAGTGACCTCACCTCATAAAAAGTTTCAATGTCTGTCATAGCTACACCAAGTGACCGATCACTTTGAAACTTTCAGCGATTGCTAAGAGCAATAGCATGTAAAAAATGTATATCTCAGAATTTTGATATCGATGACCTAAGGTCAGGTCAATTTTGCGACCTCCCCATTATAAGTCAATGGGAGAAAATTGAAATGCGCCTCTTTTGGACGAAAGACATTATAAACACTCCCTAACACCGAATTACAAGTGGTTTAGACACACTGAACATGAAAATGGTGTCCGTGACCCTTGTTTATGCCCTGAGGTCATCTTAGGTCACGAATGGATCTAACAGTTTTTCGCAAATAACTTCTGATGGCATGCTAGAGCGATGAAAACGCCTTATATGTGTTCAGCTCGACGATACGGATCGACTGATATGCAACATGACCCTTTCCGGTCAGGTCATGACCTTGACCTGAGGTCAAATTTTCAAGTTGACCTTTCAAGGTCAAGTTATAGTTCATTCGATGCGTCTTGACGAGAGGAACACGATGCTGGTGAAAGTAAGCTCGTACAAGGCTCGGGGCTAAAGTTATTGCAGACAAACTGTTTCCGAACAAAATCGGCTATTTTTGCCGTTTTTGCCCCTGCAGGCAAAACCGTTGATGTTAGGTCAAATCTGAAGAATTGCTCAGAAAGGGCGTTAATAGGGCTATCGAATGCGCTTTTCCGCGGCGCTGTAGCTCTATTGGTTCCCGAGTTATGCGTTGGCTTCTTGGAAATTTTCGACATTCGACCTGGAAATCGGCGAAATTTTGCCTTCAATGACCTCTGGCGACCTGACCTTTGACCTGACCAAAAAATTCACCGAAATAATTTCGTCATTATTTTTGACGCTCTTTCGAACGCCGCCTTCCGCGTACCGCTACGTGGCCCAGGAGCCGAGTTACAAGGGGGTGTTCAACCCCCCCCCCCCCCCCAGCAGGGCGTGGAAATCCAGGACCCCCAGCCGGGCGCGGGTTAACCCGCGACCGCCTGGGGGGGGGGGGGTCGGATCCGACCCCCCCCCCCTCCGTTTTTCTTGAATAACTCAAGAACCGCTTGCGCTATCAACTTGAAACTTGGCATACCTTCTCCCCCATCAATTTGACGTCTTCTGTGTAATTTTTAAGAAAAAAAATTCAAAATTTTTTGAGACATATCGATTTTAGTGATGTAACTACATGGCGTTTTTAGTCAAAAAGTGGTAAATGTTTAAAAAATCGCCAAAAATCAGGGTTTAAAGCAAATTGCAAATTAACCCTATTCCTGGCGGGGGGGGGGGCCTCAGGAGCCCCCCCCCTGAGGTTTTTTGGTTATTTCTCCCAAACGCGTTGAGCTAGGAAGCTCAAATTTTGTGACTTTTCCTAAAAGGCTTCTACGCAACAGGTCTGAAAATTTTGAGTTGATCTGACCTCAGGTCAGGTCACCAGAGGCGGTTTGGTGACCCTACCTCAGAAAAGTTTGCAATCACGCCAGAGCTAGAGTTTTTGACCGATCAATTTCTTCTCTTCAGGCTTTAGTTAGGGTACCAGTATGTGCAATTTGTATATCTCGGAATTTTGATATCGGTGACCTAAGGTCAGGTCAGTTTCGCGACCTCCCCATTATAAGTCAATGGGGAAAAAATCAACTCCCTGTTTTTACCACTAAAACGGGTCGGAATGGCCCCATATACCATACATGACTTCATATACGATCAACCTTCACTACCTTGAGGTCTGTTTTGCTGTTGGGCAGCTGTGAGGTCATGTGACGTCATCAAAGGTCACCAAAGGTTTTTGGCCAATAACTCCGTACAGGAACAAGATACAGACGCGTGGATGGTCTCATTGTGTTCAGCTCGTCAAGACGCATCGAATGATATACATGATGACCTCGAGGTCACGTGACCTGAGGTCAACCTTTGACCTTGACCTTTCGAGGTCAACATATATATCATTCGATGCGGATTGACAAGAGGATCACGATGATGCCCTTAGTTTGTTCCTATCTTGACTAATTCGAAAGTTATTCGAGAAAAACTCTCTCCATATCTAGCGCCGCCATTTTGACTTTTTCGACCCCTGTGACGTCATCTTTGACCTGACCTGAAAATGACTTTTGTAAAAATTGTAGATCTTGGCCGTGCGTATCCGATGCCGTTTACCGCTTGTCGCTATCTTGCTTCGTTCTCGAGATCTCAGGGGGGGGCCGAATCGGCCCCCCCCCCCCGCCAGTTTCTTGTCCCGGCGGAGCCCGCCAGGAATAGGGTTAAGGACATGAATAGACGCAGCTCAACGAGTTCTTTAAAATGGCTATCTCGGATTTTCCATAAAATGCGTTTTTCACCCCTACAAATTCAAAAAACTACATTTTTTGGAAAACAGCTAATAAAATCCAAAATTTTGAGAATTTCCAAAAACCGGAATATATGTTATAGAGCTCTATTAGAACATTAGATGTCCCAAATTTCAACTTTCTATCTTGATTTTTGACCCCCAAATTGTAAATAATAGCTCCAACAACAACAAAAAAGTCAGGTTCAATTCCTTGTCTCAAGGACGACGAAGGAGCGATCATCAATGATGACAGTGAAAAGGCGATGCTTCTGAACCGGGCTTTCGCAACAAAATTTGTAGTGCCTACTTTAAACACGCTCCCTGCCGCACCAGTATACCCTCTAGACACCTTGCCACGTTTTACGGTTTCAGAAGGGACAGTGTCAGCAATTTTAAAGGCACTTGACCAAAACAAGGCATGCGGGCCTGACAATATCAGCGCAAAAATCATCCTAGAATGTGCAGACCAGCTGACCGTCCCACTTACAAAAATATTTAACAACTCTTTGGACTCCGGTGTTTTTCCAGAACTCTGGAAAGAGGCAAATATCATTCCTTTATTAAAAAAGGAGACAAAAAGAATCCCATGAACTACCGGTCGATTAGTCTCATCTCTCTCTTTGGAAAAGTTTTTGAAAAAGTAGTATATGATCAACTTTTCCGACATGTGTCTTCGGCTCTATGTTCAGAACAACATGGTTTTGTTCCTCGGAGATCGTGCACCTCAAACTTAGCGGTGTATCTGTGCTCGGCGTGGGAAGCTATGCAGGAGGGACTTCAGACGGACGCCATTTATACAGACTTTTCGGCAGCGTTCCAAAGTGTCAACCATCGGCTTTTGATTCACAAACTCAATCAATCATACCACCTAAAACAGTCAGCGCTCAAATGGTTTGCCTCATATCTCTCCGGAAGGCGCCAGAGAGTTGTGGTGAACGGCAAAACGTCAGATTGGATCTCTGTCACTTCCGGCGTGCCGGAAGGGTCACTTTTGGCTCCTTTGGCATTCGCTCTTTACATTAACGACCTTCCGGACAACCTGACCTCGAACTGTCTATTGTACGCTGACGACCTCAAAGTATATCGTAAAATCAAAGACTCATCTGACGCGCGGCTCCTGCAGGACGACCTGTGTCGCCTTCAGGAGTGGTGCGTCACATGGGTCTTAACTCTAAATCCGTCTAAATGCAAGGCCTTCACCACCACTCTTCGGCGCCAGCCGATTCAAGTGAAATATAGCATCGGAGGCACCAGTCTCGAGTCCGTCAAGAGCATTCGTGATCTCGGCATTGTTCTGGACTCAAAATTGACCTTTTCGGACCATATAAACCATATCGCTGCCCGAGCCAACCGGTCTCTCGGGCTTCTCATTCGCTCATTTCAAACCGGATCTAAAAAAGCCAAATTCAATACGAAATCTCTGTTGGCTGCGTACTTCGCAAACGTACGTTCTGTCCTTGAGTTCGGAACGGTCATTTGGGCAGGCGCAGCCACTTCCCACACAGTTCGCGTCGATCGGATTCAGCACAAGTTTCTCCTCTGGTTAAACCACCACTCCAACAATCCTAGCCCATCACTTACCTATCCAGATTTATCCAAGCATTTCCGTGTCCCGTTCCTTTCTTCTCGAAGAGCCCAACACGACCTCCTGTTCCTAAAGGGTCTGTTCTCCGAGAAACTGAACTCTGAGATACTCTTATCCCGATTCCCCTTACGCGTGCCTATCCGACCGACGCGCACTGCAGCACTGTTTGCTGAGAGTCGCGCCCGAATCAGCACGGTCCAGAACGGGTTGGTCTGTCGTGTCGCGAGAGAGACAAACTCATTCCTCGCTCATTCCAAAGACGACTTTTTCACGACCAGCTTTTTTGTGTACAAAGCTCATGTTATCAAATACGTTGCGAACTTACCACCACCTCCGGGCTACTAGTCACTGTTGGTAGGTGATTCTTATTGATTTTATATTTTTATGATTTTAAATATGTCTATTTTTAATGTTTTCTTATATTTTTCATTTCACTTTATACATTTTTACGTGTTTTTAAAGTACCTATACATCGTTTATCTCTGTGTTCATATTTACTGTTTGTTCAGCTATTCTGGTTTACCTTGCATCATGATTTCTTTCCCACCTTACATGGGATTTTAAAACTTATGCTCAGTGGTCGTTCACACATTTTTTTCTTCATATTTTAACTTCATTGCCTATTTCTTTATATTGTTCATTGTTTTCTATTTTAGTTACATGTGTATCTGTGTTTTTTATCCCGGCGTGTGTATGCTGCCTGTGTGTGCCATATTTATTGTTTTTAGTCTTGTGACTCCGTCTTTTAGTGGGTCAAGTGCCTGTTGACGGTCTGTTGAATAAATACAAAAAAAAATACAAATACAAACATGCATAGGGCATGGTGACGTCATAAGCATTTTCGTGAATTAGAGGCACTTCTGAACATCGCATGTGAAAACAAATGACACCACTAGATTCCTGGGACAAAGCTCGTCTAGAAAAGTGCATTTTTATGTCAAAAATAAAAAGTTGAAAAAATGACCTTTTTTTCTCAGCCCTCGTTTAGTATAAACGATTTTTTATGCTTTCAATGCACACTTATCACCAGCAAAGTGAATTGTGGTCACATATAACCATTACCATCGGATTCGGCGTGAAAAATAAGCCATAAAACATGTGTTGCACGCCCATGTAGCAGAAAGTGAAAACCGTGACCTTTCGTGACCTGACCTGACCTTGACCCGTACTTAGTATGACCTCTATACGCACATGGTATCTTCACTAGGCCTTTGAGGTCATTTTTGGTGAGTTTCGAGCAGCAGCTATCGATTCCGCTGTCCGTAAGCCTAATCATGCAAAACCCCAGAATTTGACCTTTGACCTGACCTTGACCCGAAAGTTGACCTCAATCTTAAAATCTTAAGAGTGCTTTGGGAAGGTCTCGTAGAGACCTTTCGAACGCCGCCTCGCGGGGCTCGATGCGACCATTGGTTCTCGAGATAACAGGGGGGGGGGGTCGGATCCGACCCCCCCCCCCCCCCCCCCAGGCTGTCGTGGGTACGGAAATAGCCCAGGCGGGGTGCCGGGTTAATCACTAACCACAACTCTCTGAAAAGGATGTGACGAGTCGGTTTTACGCACTCACTTGGCGAACTTGACGCAGAACTGGGTGAAGTACTTCCTGGACCCGGCCAGGTTGTCTCTGATGACGGGCACGGTGGTCTTCAGCTGGCCAGTGATGAGGCTGACGTAGCCGCTCTGGTCGCCCACCGACTCCACGTTCTGCCAGCTCATCTGGCGACATACGGGGAGCGGTGAGTGATGGAGTGGGTGTTGGTCAGGGGGCAAGGCGGTAATGCGATCAACTGCGGAAAGACAGTGGTAGTATCTGGTATCTTGACTGGGATGAAAACATGATAGATGATCGTGACAGGCATGTCACAAAAGAACATTTAGGCAAATAACAGTGGACACCATTCCTTCAAGATGACATGAGGTCATGATATATCTTACCAACAGAACTAAGCGTATGATCGATTATAGGCGACGTAGATAATGCTATGCATATGACTTATGAGGATATATGGGGACTCTGGTGTTAGCCCGAGCGCGGCGGGTTAGTGCGCCGTCGACCACCCACCTTGGTCATGGTGACGAGCGCCGGGTCACAGGCCGACTCGAGGTCCTGCACCAGCACCTGCACGCAGTTGCCGATCACGCTGCAACGAACCGCGGACGTTAACAATCAGACGGTGAGTTTGGAACAGAATGCCACGAACAAATGACTGCCTTGGACGGGTAGTTAAGCATGATCGAGACAAACGGTGACGATGTTTGGAAATTCAATGGCTTTTTAGATCGCACATGGCCGGCACGCTTGGTTTTTACACGTCACTGAGCAGCCAAGACTAGCCCTACCTCTACCAGCCTCAACTTATAAACCAGTTGTGTCAAGGTAAGACCCGAAAGGGACCGCCCACCAGGCCTGCACCCTCCTCCTCACGGACCTGTGAAAGACGTCCTGCTCTCCGCCGAGGTTGATGCGGTCCACCAGAGTGGGCTCCACCTTCTCCTTCAGCTTCAGCTCCAGCTGCTGCGTCGTGTCCAGGCAGTACTCGGCCGTCGTCAGGATGCTGCCGACGGGGAGGGGGCTCAGTGAACGATGGTGGCAATGAAACGAACTACCCGCGTACATCGCTTCTGTCCCAGAACTTCCCTTTTTCTGTCGCAGGCAAAATACCTAACGAGTACATGCAAGTTTAAAATTATTTACAAGCCATGCCATGTTGTAAATTGAATTGTCACATTGTAAGTAGCGCTGCGAATGCCCTAACTATCGTCCTGTTTATCCACAGACGAGTCCGAGATCGTCCCCGACTCCCTGGTGAGTAACCATGGTTACCTGCAGACGCGGCTGACATCCCGTCGCTATGGTTACCTGCAGACGCGTCCCAGGTCGTCCCTGGTGAGCCGCCATGGCTACCTGCACACAAGCCCGAGGTCGTCCGTCACCATGGTTACCTGCAGACGCGCCCCAGGTCGTCCCTGGTGAGCCGCTGTATCTCGCCCTCCTTCATGAGGTTCTGGAAGTTGTGCAGGAACCCGGCTGTGGCCATGTCGCGCAGGTTGGAGAGGTTCGACAGGTCCTTCAGGTCGATCGGGAGCGTCTTACCAGACGAGCCGCCCGTGGCCCCGCTAACTGTCTGCCTGAGGGAACACGGGATGGAGAATAATGAGTTTGTTTGTTTGTTTATTGGGGCTTTAGGGCGCGTCGACTGCAAAGGTCATTTTGCGCCCATAACGTCGCGCTAGTAAAACAAGTGTTTCAAAAGAAGAAACTTTCTAGATATCAAGACTAGAAAGTAGAAGACTTTATAAAAAAAGACAGGGTAAAATAAAACAACGCAAAAGCGTCGTAATAGACAACTGACTAGACAAGGAGACTAGAGAGGATTTGGGTCAGGTCGAGTAAATCGCTTGGAATTTGACTGCACGGATAAAGGAAAAGATGTTGCCAGATAAAACCCAGGGTGACTCGTCACCCAGCAGGCGGCGGACAGTGGTACCCGGAACGATGCGGCCGAGGTAGCGCGTCCGGTCTGGTTCTAAAAGTGGACAAGATAAAAGCACGTGGGCGACGGTGAGAGGCACGGCGCACCCGCCGCAAACGGGCTGCTCATCTCCGCGGAGAAGGTGGCCATGCGTCGCATACGTATGACCGATGCGGAGCCTGCATAAAATCACTTCGTTTGACCTGTTGTCTTGCGAGCAAGACCTCCAATGCTCCAGAGTCGGCTTCACCTCTCGGAGCTTCCTGCCTCCACGCAGGCGCCACTCTGCCTGCCACTCCGTTAGAATAAAAGATCGTACAGCAGGGTAAAAATCACGCGCCGGCAATGGCAACCGACGAGTGCAGGGTGCTGCAGCAGCACGCCTTGCAGCCGCGTCTGCCAGCTCATTGCCATGAACGCCAACGTGACTGGGAATCCAGCAGAACTGAACAGATTTACCCGATTGTTCTACTGACTGAAGCCGAGCTAAAATGTCTTGAACGATCGGGTCGGCTGGATTAAAACTCCGTAGGGCCAACAGGCTGCTTAGGGAGTCCGATAAAATCAAGTAAAAAGGTCCGTCCGATACCTCAATAAAACACAAAGCCTTCTCGATGGCAACAAGTTCCGATGAAAACACCGAGGCGAAAGATGGCAACGAAAATGAACGGGTATCGTCGCCAGCGACGAAAGAACAGCCCGCTCCCTCAGGTGTTTTAGAGCCGTCTGTGAATACAGGAATAAAACCATCGTAAGAGGCAAGGTGTTCCAAGGCTCGGACTCGTGCCTCTGCAGGCAGCAACTTGCCCTTTGGAACTGCAGAAAGCGAAAGATCCACCTGTGGACTGACACTTTTCCACGGTGGAGGGGGCGCAGCCCAGGTACGACGAACGTTACGCAATGCTATGTCAACTATTGAAAACAGTTCTTTCATGCGCACTCCGAACGAGGGTCGTAACCTTCCGTTACATCGGGTGGCATGCCGTGAAAAAACGTATGGGTACGTCGGGTGCATAGGAAATTGGCGCAGTTTCAGCGCGTACCGCATACCCAACATCTGACGGCGGAGTGAAAGTGGCGGTTCATGCGCCTCAGCAAGAATGCTGCTCCTGGGCGAGGTGCGGAATGCTCCGGTGGCTACTCGGAGTGCTGCATGATGGACTGTATCCAGGACCCTCTTGCTAGATTCACTCGCTGAATCGTAGACAAAAGAAGCGTAATCTAGCTTCGATCGTACAATAGATCGATATAGAAGAAGAAGGGTCCTGCGGTCCGCACCATAAGATGTGCGGGCGACACATTTTAAAACGTTCAGGGATTTAAAACATCGTTCCCGAAGCGTTCTAAAATGTTCTTTATACGTTAAACGACTGTCAAAAAAGATCCCAAGAAACTTCGCCACCGGACGAGTAGGAATCACCTGTCCATAGAGCTGGATTCCCAAGGGAAGGTCGCCGCAGCGGCGGCGGCAAAAGTGCATAGCGACGGTCTTCGTTGTTGAAAAACGAAGACCGTTGTCACGACTCCATCTCTCCAACCGCGTCACTGCAAGCTGCAGCTGTCTGGCCATATGCCGAGCGCTTGAAGCGGCAAACCAAATGGCAAAATCATCCACGAAGAGCGATCTACCGATCGAGACCGGCAGATCATCAGCGATGTCATTAATCGCCACTGCAAAGAGAGCCACACTAAGCACCCCGCCCTGGGGAACTCCGTTCTCTTGAGTAAAACTGCTCGAAAGACTACTGCCAACTCGGACTTTGAACCGACGACCCGATAAAAAGTTCTTAATAAAGAGGCCCATCCGGCCGCGTATGCCGTACTTGTGTACTTTGGAAAGTATTCTGTGTCGTAACACTGTATCATAGGCCGCCTCAATATCAAAGAACAGTGCTCCAAGGTGCTTCTTTTCAGTAAAACAGGTGCGTATCTCGGTGTCGAGGGCTAAAATGTGGTCAACAGGGCTGCGGTGCTTTCTAAAACCGCACTGGGCGTTTGTAAAAACACCGTGATGTTCCAAAAACCAGCTAAGACGCACATTGACCATCTTCTCCATCAGCTTTGAAAGCGATGATGTGAGAGAGATGGGCCGATAGTGGAGAGGGTCATGTCCCGACTTGCCAGCCTTCAAGATAGGAATGATAGTGGCTTCCCGCCAGGTCTCAGGGAAAGTGCCAGTCTCCCACAGCGAATTGAAAGTTGCTAGCAGCGCCTCGAGGGCAACCGCCGGGAGATGACGGAGCATGTCGTTGTGGACAGCATCCGGACCTTCTGAGACGCTGCGCAACGAGCTGATGGCAGACGTGAGCTCAGCCATAGAGAAAGGCTCGTTGTACACCAAATTTTCAGCTGTGCTGAAGTCCACGGCGGCTGGTGCAGGTCGTGAGGACGGCTCTCCTCGGCAGCGCTGATAGAGTGCACGGCCTATCGTCTCTGCGACGTCTAAAGGGTGGGATATGTCCGTGTTGTTCACTCTTAAAACCGGAAGCGGAACAGAGCTGAACCGGCCTTCAATGCGCTTCATGCGTGCCCATATCTGGGTCGTAGGAGTAAAACGGTTTAAGGAACTCACGTACGTGCGCCATGAAACAGCCTTTGCCTCTTTTAAAACGCGACGGGCAAAAGCCCGCGCTTTCTTAAAAGCGATGAGGTTCTCAGTAGTACTGCTCCGGTCAAACTTTCTAAAAGCGCGCTTCCTGGCACGAATCGCATCTCCGCATTCCTTGGTCCACCACGGGACCGGAGGACGACGAGGCTGACTCGACGTCTTGGGTATGCACCCGTTTGCGGAGTCAATGAGTAAACATGTAAAATCCTCTGTAGACATCACAGAGGCGTCGGCTCTGGATAAAACCGTGGCCTCTACGGCGGCCTGGAATTCGCCCCAGTCGGCCTTCCGAACATTCCACCTGGGTGGACGGTTGCCTGACACTGGGGTCTCCTGGTGCTCCAGCCACACTGGGAAGTGGTCGCTCCCGAGTGGGTCGTCATGGACGGACCAGGTAAAAAGCTGAGCTAGCCGCGGACTGACTAAGCTCAGGTCCAGAGCCGATGTTTGACCGGAGGGTGTTGTAAAATGGGTGCGCTGTCCTGTATTTAAAATACACAGCGCCTCATCGCGGATAAAAGATTCTAAAAGTCGACCACGAGTGCCAGTCGTGTCGCATCCCCACGCCAGGCTATGGGCATTAAAATCGCCGACTACCAGGACCGGAGGTGGAAGCTCATCGACAAGTCGATGCAGCTCAACCACCGGGAGCGCTATACCTGGTGGAAGGTATAAAGAACAAACTGTCAGCTCCCGGTGGTTGAAATCAACTCTAGCGGCTACCGCCTGCAGAGGAGTCTGCAGCGGAACCTGACGTGCGGGCACACTGTGGTGCACTGCCAAAAGTACACCTCCATGGGCAATGGTCGGGGTGTCTAAGTCTCTTCTAAAAACAGAGTAACCCTTGATGGCAAAGGTAACGTTTGGCGCTAGCTTGGTCTCCTGGAGACCTAAAACAAGGGGTGTGCGCCAACGGATAAGAGACTGTAGGTCCTGGTAGTTGGCTCGGAGGCCTCTACAGTTCCACTGTAGAATAAAAGGCGTGGTTAAAAAGGCGCAAAAAGGGCGCGTATAACATGAGGCAAAGGCGCACGCAGATACCTGACTGGCCACAAAAAAAGGTAAAAAACACCGAGAGAAACGCACCTGGTAAAAAAGCGCAATAGCGCGAAAAAGATAAAAGGATAAAAGAGGAAATGACTAGACTGAAAGACTAGACTAGGTCCTCTAACTCCGAGGAGGCGCTCCCCCCGTAACGGATGCGGGGGTGCCCCGAGCCCTCTCGGTGAAGCCTCCCTTCAGCGGAGGCAGATCGGGCGTGGCTCGAGCCCTGCTGGGGCTTTTTCGCCCGAGGGGCGTCACCCTCCGAGGGCGACCAGCTCGGGGGCGTCTGCCGCTTGGCGAGGCGCCCTGGAGCCGCGGAGGACTGTTGCCGCCCCGACGGGGATGTCGAGGCGGCGGCCTGTGTCCTCGACACAGGCGTCTCTGGCAGCGGCGGTGGTGGCCGCCGCTGCGGAGGTGGAGGAGGCGGCGGGGGACCCATGATGGGCCGAGTCCCCGCCTCAGGTGTCTCCGGGGTGTCAGCGGCGGCGGCCGCGTTGGCACTCCCGGAGGCGGAGTCGGCAGACGAGGCTTCTTTAGCCTCGAGGGCCTTCTGGACGAGGCGAGCCCTCCTCGCCTCACGTGCCCTCCTCTCCTCCTCCCCCCGCCGCAGAGCCTCCTGCACCGCCGTAGACGGTCGGGGGCGGGGCGGGGTGGGTGGCGCCTTACCCTGCGCCGGGGGGCGCCGACCACCCTGTCGGCGCTGGACGACGGTCCACTCGTCTCCACTCGCGGCTGGAGCCGGACTGGGTGGACCCCACACTGACTCCTGAGCAGCCTGCTCCGTGTCGCTCGGCGGCACACGAGGCGCCGGGGGGTCCGCTGAGCCATCAGTGGCTACGACAGTGAGGCCGAATCGCTTGAGGAGCTGCACAAGCTGTGCAACACTCATCTGGGAGGCATCGGTTGAGTTTGTCACTCTCACCTTTTGGGCATACGAGGTCTTCGGGTGAGTTTGGTTATACACCTCCCGGGCCTCTTTAAACGACAGATTTCTGGTAGCCTTGATGGTGTTTATCTCCTTCTCTTTAACGTATGTAGGGCAGGACCTGTCATACGCGGAGTGCGGTGTCTGCCCCTCTCCGCAGTTGACGCATCGAGGGGTTTCCGAGCTGCACGTGTCGTCAGTGTGGTCCTGGGAAGCACACTTGGAGCACACGGGTTTGCCTCGGCAGTTGTCCTTCGTATGACCAAAACGTTGACAGCGGAAACAACGCATGGGTGCCGGGACGTAAGGTCGCACACGAACCCTCACGTACCCCACGCGAACCTCGCTCGGCATGTCGGTGGAGTCAAAGGTTAAGATAATGTTATTCGTGGGGACCGTGCCTCTCCTCGCCAAGATGCGGTGTGCTGCTGTGACGCCAAAGTCGGCGAGGCCGTCTGCAATGTCGTCATTGCTCACGTCTCTGAGGTCAAAGCAGTTGATGACCCCTCTGCTCGAGTTCTTTGACCTGTGCGGCTCAACTGAGAGAGAGACAGAGACCAGCTTCCTGCCGGAGGCCCGTCCCTCGGTATACACAAATCGGGTGGCGCTTAAGGCTTTTGCAGCCTCCCCACTTTTCTCGAATTCGACTTCCAAAGCCCCATCGCGCATCCGATCGCAGCGGAGGATCTTGCCGAGGCGGTCGCAGCCGTCCTTCCGTTGGAAGGGGGACAGCGCACCCAGCTGTTTGTCACTGCTCCTTAGGATAAGGATCTTTGGGTTTCGAGGAACCTTCTCGTGTGACGTTCGCCCGCCGGCCGAGGCCAACGGGCGAGAATCGGCCGAAGCCGAGGGGTTGGATTGAGGGGAAGGGGGGTTGGTCCGGTCATCCATGTAAGTGTGCTTGGTCTCCGCCAGCTCGGCCGCCGACGCTCCGCAACGGCGCCGCTACAAGGCCTAGGACGGCCGAGCTGACTGTACGGGACTTGGCGGCACCTTCCGAGGGGGAGAGAGAGACTCACCACCCCCCACGGTCGGATACCGCCTCCTCCCTTGACGCCTCGCCGAGTCACCGCCAGGGGCAGCGACAGATCAGTCCCACCGACGGAGGACGAGCACAAGTGCCCGAACCCCGCCGGCGACACCTCTCCAACACCACCCCCGGCGGCATCACGACTGGGAATGGCTCCTCAAGTGCGGCGCCCCACTGAGTGTCCCGCCCTTACAGAACTCAGGGCCAAAGAGGCGTGTTGCCCAGCCACCGCGACTGGCTCCGCACGGTGGGGGGCTCAACCTCCAGGATCCCGTTGTCCTGGGGTACGGGTCGGCTCGCCTAGCCTAGTAGATAGTAGGAGAATAATGAGGTGATAGAGTCCGGCATGCTGAGGAAGGACAAAGTGCCTACGAGAGACATATATGTATAGAAACGGAAGATGTCCGTCGCTGATTTCATACTGGTAAAACAGCGTATATCAGATCCCAGCATGAATTTAACATTGAGACACGTATGTAACATGTAAGAGCTGCTCATGTAAGTTCAATTACGATATTGGATGTGCGTCAACCCACATAAACACGAGGCGTAGTCATTTTTCAAGCGTAGCGGCACGCACTCCTGACGCGCACCCTCCCCTCCCTCTCCTCCCTCATGCCTACTCACTTGGGTAGGTTGGCGAGCAGAATTTTCAGCGCGTACTCCCGAAGATGTTTCTGAAACACGGCCGTCAGAGCGAGCAGCTGTCGGCCGCGACTTAGCTGCGAGCACTGCAGCATACACTTCTTGTAGAACATGAACAGGTCGGCACAGCTGGGCAGGATCAGCGAGCTCTCGGCGGCCGCGCTGGGGAAACCCTTGGCCTTCAGCTCCTGGCTGAAGCGCTCCATCAGGTCCGATAGGTTCCTGCGACAGGGAGGGAACGAATGGAGTGTGAGGTGAACAGACGCTAGGACGACAACATTAAAGACCGTAGGTGTATTAATATGAAGAAAAAATTGACGCGTACATGACAAAAGGAAAACGAAACATTTGAGAAACGGCGTAAATGTGTTAACTTTTACTCTGGCATATGAATACATTTCAATCACATTTCTTGCCATGAAACGAACTAAAAATGTTGAATCACACGCAAAACGAATTAGTCATGTATCGGCAGTAACGTACCACACACGCCGAGCAAACCTATCCTTCGTAGTGCTCCATCAACCTATCTTGGCTCGGTTACCTGTCCTGGCTCTCGATGTAGATGTTGAGGTGCTGCTCGAAGCACTGGCTGATCAGACCCTGGAACGGGTCAGAGGGTGGCGCCGCTGGCTCCGGCGGAGGCGGGGCGGGGACCGACTTCTCCGCCTCGGCTGCGTCCTCCTCCGTCTCAAACGGGTTCGTCGACTTGGGCTCCGGCTCCGGCTCCCCGAAAGGGTTGGTCGACTGCGAGCGTGAGAGGAGATAGGTGTCAAGTGGCTGGAGTTATAACTGTTGCCAAATATTTGAACATTGAATGATAATGTAAGATAACAATAGTGGTAAGATGACTACCGCAGTGAACAAGTACCAAGATCAAAACTGCACAGGCGAGAACCACCAGTCAGGAAGCATGCAAATCGAGAACGGATGTCAAATAAGGCAACTCCACCCTCCCCTGCCCACCACAGACCACGTCCGGAACAGTCCGACATTGCCTCACCTCCTTCGGCGTGGCCGGCTCGGCGGCGGCAGCGGCCGTCCGGCGGTCCTGTAGCGTCACCCCGGAGAACCGACGTGACAGCAGCGTCTCAAAGTTGGCCGTGCGCTGGATGGCGAACAGCAGGAGCTTGACGTCCATCTCGGAGACACGCCTCGCCATGATGGCTGATAGTTCCGACCTGCGACAGAGAACACAAGGGAAATCGTTACTTTGGGAGTTATACAGGGTGTCCAGAAAAAACGGATACTATTATTTTTTGCTGTAATTCCGAAAATAAACACCTTACATTTTAAAATGGCAAATGCTTGTATTCGCCAAAATATGGCAAAACAGACAGGTGCTACATGGCATGTAAACTCTTTGGTTAGTTGCGGCAGCTCCTCAAAGCAGATACTCAATGTGAGCGGCCTTACGGCGGATCAGCTCCAGCACTAGCACAGTCTGCAGGTGACTGATGGTCATGTTGACCATCTCGGAGGGCAGGCAGACAACTTTCCAACGACGCATTACAGTGCTCATGAGTTTTGCCAAATCTTGCACTATAAGCACATGAATTTGGAACAAAATCGGCACGTGTGTTAACCCTCGCCCCGTTGGGGGGGGGCCATTTTGGCCCCCCCCCCCTGTGGTTTTTCCTGAATAGCAAGAAAACGGCGGCGCGCAGCGCCGCCAAATTTTCAGTACCTTCCCGGGCATCAATTTGACACCTTCACACCAAATTTCAAGTCTTAGGTCACCTTAGGTCAGGAGTTATTGAGGTCAAACTGAGGTCATGTTCGAGCAAAAATGAGCAAAAAACATGCAATCTTGAAACGCTCACCAAATCTACAGTTATCAAGCAATTTCAAAGTTCTTTATATGGTCTAGTAGACAAAAAGCGGCGCTACAAAACTGCTATCTCGGATTTTCAAAATTTTTGGTTTTTGACCAAAAAAAAATCAAAAAATTGATTTTTTTAGAAAAACTTTGAAAAAATCCAAAATTTTCCCGAATTTCGAAAAAACCGGAATATATGTTATAGTCCCAGCGCTCTTCTATATACATACCAAATTTCAGATCGATATCTCGTTTTTTGGCCAAGTTATAGCGAAAAAACTGTTCAAAGATGATGACGTCAAATTTTTGAACTCAATTTTTAGCAATTCTAGACCACGTACGGCAAAACAAAGACCACCATTGAACTCCCTGTGACGAGCTGCATCGATTTGATACCCATTTTATGCAAAAATATTAACTTTGAAATTTGACCTAATTTGACCTGACCTTGACCTGACCTTGACCTGACCTTGACCAAAACGTGATCTAAAATGGCCCCAAAGGCTGCCTGACCCATATAATCGCATTTGTCATGTAAAATGGACCATAAAACATGTATCACACGACACTTTCATATTGTGACCCCCCGTGACCTGACCTCTGTGACCTGACCTGGTATCAGTGACCTCAAATAGCAAAATATGTGTTTGAAGAACATTTCCCCATCGATGATTTTCAATGAAATGCATTTTACTCGATTTTACAACGCATTTCTTGAAGTGCCTGTAAACGGTGAAAATTGGACCTTTGACCTGACCTGTGACGTCATCGGTTTGACCTAGGTCAATAAAATTGGGTCACAAGGTAGTTCCCCGTTGGGGCTATCCAACGCCGTTTACCGCTTGTCGCTATGTTGCGTGGTTCACGAGATCTTAGGGGGGGCCAAAATGCCCCCCCCCCCAACCGGGCGCGTTGCTCGGCAGAGCCCAACGGGGCGCGGGTTAATGAATGCGACTTAATTTCCGTAGTATCTTTTTTCTGGACACCCTGTACAACATAGCCAATGGAGTTTGACATATCAGTCGGTGATTGTGATTAAGATTAAAAAAGTTTATAAAAAATATCCACTTGTGGAAAGGCCTCACAAAAAAAAACTCGTGAACTCGTAAAATGAGGGCTGACAACCTTTTTCTACCATACGTCATATATGTGGGCGTCAATGTGAAGAACAATCGTCCATATCCATTGCAACTGGACGTCTCTAGAAGACGTCAGCAGAGACGTCCTCGGTCCTTCCCCTCCCAAACCCACAAACAAACAGCCGCACGACCAGCCACCCGGCGCTCACCTTGTGACCTGGCAGAACTCGACAGCGATCCGTTCGGAGACCTCCCATTCGGGCGGAAAGAGGCGGCCGAAGCGCTCCTCAAACTCGATCAGGTGCCGCTTCAGCCACGTGTAGCGTTTGTCGATATTATCCAGCCAGGCGGACTCCTCGTTGGCACCAAACAGGTGTGTGTACTCGGCGAGCTGGAGTGATACGAACCAGCGCAGCAGCTCACGTCTGAGGGCAGGAAGAGAGAGGGGTGTTGAGGGAGAGAGAGAGAGAGAGAGAGAGAGGGGGGGGGTGATGAGGGAGGGAGAGAGAGGGGGAGACTAAATCAGCAGCTCCCGTCTGAGCACGGACAGGGAGAGAGGGGTGATGAGGGAGGGGGATAAAGAAAGGGGGAGACTAACGCAGGTCGAGCTGCCGTCTGAGGCGGTTATGGATGGGTGGAAATGGGGGAAGGAGGAAGACAAACATGGCAAGTCAAAAAACTGCCTGACAAAAGAGGGACGACGAATGATTGGCCGTCAGAAATAAATCGAAACATAAGAAAACAGAGCACCTTTTCATCATGATGAGTTGCGAAAATTTATTGATTTAGCAGTAAAAACAATAGGCTATACTCCGCAGCCAGAAAAGCATACGAATAACGCCCCCAGGAGGCTCTAAGCAGGACGCACTTGACTTTGGGCTCCAGAACGTTGACGACGAGGCATGCCTCTCCCAGTTGCTGACTGGGGATGGCCTTCTTGGAGTTGGCCGCCGAGAACGCCTCCTTAAAGTCGCTGGTGATCTGCTCTGCCAAGTCGGTCCGGATCTTGTGCACCTGAAACACGCGGGATGGGTAGGGGACATAAGACAACGCAACGAGCTTATGCGTGGGGGGGGGGTCACGTGCTCAGTGGCTTATTAATTAATATGTTACACAACTGACAACTTTTCAGCGCTTATAAAGTCCACTCATCTTTCAGCGCGGCGCAAGAGTGGTGCTGAATGCGAACATGTTTATGCAAAACAGGGCCATGAAGTGCTAGGAAGAATGAATGTTTTTTTACAGCTGAACACATAAACACTACAGACTCGGGCTGTAGACACAGCAAAATATTAATTCCCTACAGCGATAAGCCTACAATTCCCCTACTGGGACACCTACCTGATCGGCGAGCTCCTTGATCTGTGGAATGTCCATGTACTTGTCGAAGTGTTCCAGGACCTTCATGACACCCTCCAGCAGCATGGCTATCTCGCCGTACTGGCGCCGGCAGATCAGGGACCTGGGAAAGGGGTACGGTGATAGGGGGCGAACATCAGCTCGGCGTGGGTAATCGGTTCGGCTCAACTGAATAAAGGTAGAGCACCAACAAAATACGTGCAAGATATAATTGAGAAGGTGAAATGGTTGCGTGAATTTTACGACAAAAACACATACCTTCATGCCATGCAAGAACGTGTTTGTCTGAGATCAGCAATTGTTCAAAAATTGCAGTTCGCACTCGCTGTGTCACCCACAAGTTTTAATAAGTCGTCATTCAGTATGGATCACATCTCCTGTTCATTACCCACACAATGCAGCATATTATAGCCCGTAGCCATCCCAATTCAGTCTCCCTCTCCTCCCTACCCTATCCCTCCCACAGCTACTAACTGGAGCGTGTCGACGCCTCCGGCCAGCATGTGCAGGTGGTTGAGCGTGGTGACGGCCGCCGTCAGGTTTCTCTTGCCCTGGTCCAGGTGCTTGATGTCGCGCGTGATCTCCTTGACCGTCTGCTCAGACTGTTCGGCGCGACCTTTGATCTCGGAGATCTTGTTGAACAGCTGCACGATCGACTTCTGCGCCTCCTCCAGCGCCCGCTTACCATCCTGGGGAGGGGGTCAAAAGTTAGAGTCATGGCTCGGCATCACAGGTCGGGGTCACAGGTAAAAGCAAAAAAGCTTCCCATTTACTTTCTTCACAAGGTGCAACTAAAGCGAGAAGTGTAAGTGTCAAGTGATCGTCTTTTTATCGTCTTCTAGTCGTTTGTTTAAATTTCGGATTAAGCTCATGCGTCCCGAGCTTCACACAAATTGATCTGTCAAAACCGAAAAAGGCACCTCGTTGTTGATGATACTTCTTACCTAACATTGAAATTTTATCAAGCTGTCTACCCTACGAATGGCACCGACAGTGTATCACAACTCTTGGCCACCGTCCGACGCAAGCGGACACGTCTCTCACTGCCATCTGATGTAAGCAGACACTCTCACTGTCGTCAGACATCCCCGGACACGACCCCTGCTGTCGGACACACTCCCTGCCAGCAGACACTCAGACACGGCGGCGTCTCACCTGTCCGGAGTTGGTGTGTCCGCGCACCACGTTCCTGATCTCCTGGTCGATGACGCGCACCCGCTCCGTCATCGACGATATGACGTCATCGATGTTACTCAGCGACTGCTCGTTAGGGAACAGCTGATTGATGTAGTCGACCACGTCAAAGTCGGGACGGTCCAACGGATCGTTACTCGGAAGCACCTGTGCCAAAAAAAGGGTTGAGATCAATGGGATTTCGAGTGAGACGATATATGTAAGGTAGCCTGCAGCCAGGCGCATTTTGTAAGGGAATGGAAGTGAGCATACAGAGCCAAAAGAGCATCGTGAAGGCATTTTAAGGCATGGGAAAACTAAAGGCAGGGAAGAACTACTTAAGATTAATCTCAAACTTAAGCACCGTGTTTTATAGAACATATATAAAGCAGGAACTGTAGCAAGTCACAGACTGTTTCAGCCTTGTATGCAGTAAAATACTCACCTGATCAATTGCAGACAGAACCTCTGGAGGGAGGTCAATCAGGTCGCCCTCATCCTCATCCAGCTGGAGGTAGCTGTCAGGAACTGAGAACATGTCTGTTCTTTTGGTACTGATATCTGTTGTAAGAGTTGTCTGCAGAATCTTACTTCTTCCTTATCATATCTTCAAAAGGTGACTGTTCCTGGAAAAATATTGACTTTGTTGTTACTTGTTAGTTCAAAACATGTTTGTTACCTATTGGAAAAGCTGCCTGATCTTATTATGCTGTGTTAGCAGTTTGCACTATCAGCAGATGCCCTCAGCCTCAAGCAGGGTTTCGGAGTCGTGGTAGCGCTGTTCCGACTCCGACTCCGACTCCGACTCCGGGCTCCTGACCGACTCCGACTCCGACTCCGACTCCGACTCCGACTCCGACTCCGGGTCTGATACGAATGGCAATGGCGGCCGCCAAAATTTTGCGTGATATGACGCCACGTGCTAGGTCTACGTGCACGGGGAGAACGCTCATACTCTCCAGTTTCCTTCATGCAGTCACCATTTCTCCCACGTGGACGCAGCTGAATCCACAAGAGGTCAGCGGTCAGCGTGGAAACCCGCCGAGAAGCGCGAAAGGCGGCCGTATCACGAACACGAGCATCGCCATCATGTCGGTCATTCCTATGTGTTGATACTTTTCGGAGCATAAACGAAGAAAATAAAGATGCAGTTGTCATTTAGTTTTTGACTCGTGAAATACTTCAGATAGTGGAACTTATAACAGGCATGCAAAATACTTGGCTACTAAATTATGATATAACTTGAAACTTGTAAGATCGAATGTTTGTCATTTAGAACAAAAACAAGATGAGTGCAATTTTTATCGCCGGAAGCGAATTCTACCGCGGGCAACTGGTAAAAAAAAAAAAAACTGAAAAGTGATATCACAGATTCTAGTTATTTTCCGGAGTCGGAGTCGAGGCAGCTTGACCGACTCCGACTCCGACTCCGACTCCTGGCTGCTTGCCACGACTCCGGGCGACTCCGACTCCGACTCCGACTCCGACTTCGAAACCCTGGCCTCAAGGACATATTTGACCAGCATTGGGCTAATACACATGAACCAAAGTCACCTTTCCAACCCTAATTTTATTCCTGTCCTGTTTTCAGTAAGATCCTTAGATCCTATACAATGTGAGGCATTAAAAACAATTTACCCCAGCTAATCTGCCAAACATTTAAACTTGAGGCTTTTGTTTGTATTCAAAGTTAGCAGCATCAACTTTGTCTCTGTCTAGGGCAGGCAGGTGCTTAGTGTTAGGAGGTAGGTAGGCACATACTACAGAGTTTCCTGGGTAAATGTCAAGATAAAGTCCTAAGAAGATTTCAAGAATATTTTCATATTCTTACATTATTTGACATCCTGAATCCAAAAATTATATTTACATGTCTCACAAATACAAGAAAAATAACATGATCATACCTGACCTAACTTTAGCTTCTTACCAACAAGCTTCCAGCCTACAACCTAACAACTTACAACTTACAAACCTGCCAGCCTACAACACAAAACCTACAACCTAAAATTTCTGCAGTTACATATTTAGTGATATTTGTATCAACAGCGCCACAGTTGAAGGTCGGACCTGGTCTTGACAAATACCATTTCATGCTGGAATGCAAGCTGTGAATGCTAATGAAATTGAAATAAGATTTAACGTTCAGGTTCAGCAAAATGCATAATGCATAAGACAATCACCAGTTACAATAAAAAACAACTTTTTTAACCATAAGGTACTAGAAATATATACATCAACAAAATAAGCCTCTGTTCCCACCAGAGTTCAATCAATTCCACTGTGTTTTATTCGGTAGGTAGCTACCTACGTGTTATGTTTAACAACAACCTATTCCGAAGAACATGGCAAGTTTGGTAATGTACAAACTACAACCTTTATCAAGATAAATTAGTGAAATATCAACAAAAGTAAAAACACAGAATCCATTGTGAAATGGAATGAAAATACAAACACATGGATGCATCAAAAAAGCAATAACATTGACGTTGAACCACTAACCAGCTAGTCTGGCATGATATAACCTTAGTATCGATACAATTTGTACTTTTTTAGCAAACAAATTTTAACTATAACATAACTCTGACTTCAGATGCTAGTAGATGAGCCAAAACAGTCAATGACTTAAATGAATGTTTTTTGATGAACCCCGGCATATCCAAGTAGTATCCAAATATTTTTCACAGGTCTTGACAACGTGAAGCCAAAGTATATCGTATTCGATTCTCTTTGTTATTGGCATTGCCAGCAGATCTTGATCTCTGACCAACCTTATTCTGCCTGAGATTTAAGATGCTTGAAGATCAAATAGATATATTTAAGTAATTTTCTGAGAACCATTTCAAAAATGTGATGCTAAATAACTTAAAATTAATCATGGTTTAAACTACTTTCAATTGATATCTTTTAATTTCCAAAATATCGAAAACTGCTTATCCTGCAAAAGAACAAAAACCTTTGATCGTATTTATATGGTCAACGCGCCAGTACTGTCCTAGTTCTAGTTTCAATAAAACTTAAAGCTGTATCAAAATTTCTTAAGATGATACAAAATATCGCTTATTTGCTTACAGTGTAAGTATTAAATTTACATTTTCGTTACGTAAAATCTAAGTGTTTCTTTAACAATGCTTTTAAAATAGGCAAAATGAACAAAAAAGTGCATCATAAAATTATGCCCACTAGGGGCGGTATAAGCCCGTATTTGTTTCCTATGTATAACGGAACCACTGAACTCATAATGAACGGAACGTACGGAACATATTGAGTGCTCGGGCTCTGAGAAATATATGGCCTTGCTTGCTCGTTGTCCATTTATTACAGTTCCCTAGATACCGTGATATTGTCGATATACGGCCTTAGTCATTAATAGTTTTGAATCCTTTCTATCGATTTTGCTGTGGATTTTCTTTCGCCCTCTAATTGGTCTTCACACATGCAGAATCATTTTTTTTTTTTACCTAAGACAATTAAATGGCAGGTAAGCTTTTCCAATTTACATTTCAATTTTTGAGTGTGTTTTTGTGTCACTATGTAATGTTGTTTATCTTGAGACTGTCTACAAGATGATTGGTTTTGTTCTTCTGTCTTCAAATGCTTTGATTGGCATTCAAACATCTGAAGTCAAAGTTAGTTGGTCAACCGTGCTTGGTCATGGCCCATGACTTTGCAGTTTGAAGCAAGGGCACTCCCATGACTCATGGGAGTGCCCTTGCTTTAAACTGCAAAGTGTGGCACATGCACACCTGAGGTGCGCCCAATTCAATTGGACTGTTGCTGTTCAATTGTTAAACAAATGGTGGTTGAATGCCAGTGCTGTTCATTGAAGCCACTCTATTGTTCACACACTAATAAAAATAGATTTCAGTTATGAAGATCAAAGAAACCCCATCTGGTAGCATTCTAATATTAAGTGGTATGGGTGGATAGGTACCTAACTGAGCAATGAGCATCACTCAGTCACAATCAGGCTGGTTAGCTTTCATTGGATCACTTGAGTCTTGAGATCAGTAGCTGAAGCTGTTAAAGGTGTTATGCTGTACCTATGTTGATCACATTCCAAGTTTGCAACTAAGACTTTGTGATGGATGCTGTTTATTTTCATGGTCATAGTTAATAGAATTACTAATGTGTATGATGTTTGTCCCCATTGCAGAGATTGATGATCAGCAACGTCTAAGGTTCCAGGTTGAGCTGGAATTTGTTCAGTGCCTGGCTAACCCAAATTACCTTAACTGTAAGTACCTGCATATATTGTGAGAGAGGATTTATGGATTACATGCACAAACTTGCAACTGATTGAGTCATCAGTTTGTTTTTGTCAATAGCAGGATGGCTTCATATTCCAAGTACCTAATGTACCCTTATTGTAACCTGAATGTTGACCATAGTGGACTTTGAACTTTGGATGTCCAATGCTGAAATGCTGTGAATGGTGAGTTTTTTATAGTTTAGCACAATGAATATGGCTTCATCCAATTAATGCCTACTGTTCTGGTATATGTTCTTTTATTTTCTTCAAAGTGATCCAAAGTTCTGCTCCTACACTAACATCTTTTGCTGTGTTGCTTCCAGTTCTTGCCCAGAGAGGATACTTCAAACAGCAATCATTTGTCAACTATCTGAAGTATCTGAAGTATTGGACTAAGCCTGAGTATGTGAGGTACATCAAGTAAGTAACACATATTTAATCAAGTTAATTATTAGCCATACAGTTTATACATCATCTGTGTATGATAGCTTATCACCATGAGATTATGTACCTACATAAATGTTCTTTGCAAGGTTAATTTAAAATGATACATTTACATTGAATGAACAAACGGCCAATCATGAATCATGGCCATGATAAAATAATGCCTATTTTCTCTCATTGGATGTGTCATGTAGTGTGTTCCAACTTCACAAATTGTGTTCATTTTTTCACCCAACTTATGGTCATGTTCCTTTGCAGGTACCCAATGTGCCTGCATTTCCTCGATCTTCTCCAGTACGAGCACTTCCGCAAGGAGCTGGTGAATTCTCAGTGCACAAAGTTCATTGACGACCAGCAGATCCTGCACTGGCAGCACTACACGCGCCGACGCACCCAGCTGCTGTCCGGTGAGGTGTCCCCGACACCGGTCGGCAGCACCACGCCTACCGCCTGACGTGGCCACGCCCACCGCGTGAAGTGACTCCGCCCACTGTGCGTGTGGACCCGCCCAAGTGAATTGATTAACCTGTGGGTTGCAAGCCCGTCGCCACAGTAAGGCAAAATACAACTTTCTCAGGTGTCACCAACCCCCACTTGAGTTCGCGATGTCGGAACCCGTGCTGCTCAGCTACCACGACTCAGTGCTGCACGAATCAGACGGTGAGCTGCTAGCCGGGCCGCACTGGCTCAACGATAAGCTGATCCAGTTCTACCTGGATTATCTGGAGCACGAGGCGTTCCCTGCGACGGACGTGGCGCTCGTCGGACCGGACGTGACGCAGTTCGCACGGCTCTGCGCTGAGCCGGACTTGGTGGCTTTTCTGGCGCCTCTGAGACTGACCGAGCGCCGAGGGGTGCTGCTCGTCATCAACGACTGCGACCGGCCGGACGTGCCCGGCGGCTCCCACTGGAGCCTGCTCGCAGCCGTCGGAGGTCGCTTCATCCACTACGACTCTATGTCCGGCGGTAACGAGACGGCTGCACGTCAGATGGCGCGCCGCCTGGCGCCCATACTCGGCTGCTCGGCCAAGATGACCGAGGCGTCGTGCAGTCGCCAGCAGAATGGCTACGACTGCGGCGTGTTTGCCCTGGTACATGCTGAAGAGGTGCTCCGTCGCCTGGACTCTGGCGGAGATCTGCTGAGGGTGATCGTCTCGCAGGAGCGCGTGGAAGAGGCGCGAAGGGACATGCTGCGACTCATCAAGGAGATCGCTAAGAGGTAGGCAAGGGTGGAGTGTAGTAAAGAGGGATGGCGAGGGTTGGGTTGATGGGGAAGATCTCGGCAGTGAGAGGTCGCTGTCCGCTGTTTGTGCTCTGTTGTAAGATTTGAAGATCGTAATAAGTAAGGTAGGACTCTGGTGGATAAAAGACATTTACCGTAGATACATAAACAAATTAATACGCATTACACGCTGATTTTGTGTCGAACTCTGTATTGTTATAGGTTTTTGTAATGTATTTATGTTGTTCATGTATCTGCGGTAAAAGATGTCTGTTGAGTGATCTACTCGTACTTACTCTTCTTGAGATGCAGCTTCCGCTGATATTGTGAGCTGAATTGCTAGATGCTGCTGAAGTTTGGTACTGAGCTGCTGTACTCAACTTTGGCTATGGATTTTTTTCAACAATGTATCGATACCTGTGCTGGTAATATCCTCATTCAAACCACTACTGCCGCGGACTGACTTCAAATACAGTATGTTTGTAGAAAGGCGATCTAATTGAAATTCATTCATTCCTCTCCAAACAGTATCATCACATACACCAAGTTAGTATGAACATTCTTCAACATATTCTAGGTGAACAGCAAGGCTCACTATCTTACAACACATCATTCCTAGCGGCAACTATCCATGCACTGCACAAACCACGCTGCGTCGCCCGTTTCTCGATCACTGGGCTCCGGCAGACAGCTCCGTCCTCATCCGCTCTATCTGCGCGGCCACGGCGGCGCGTGCGGTGCCCCCGTCGGCGCGGTACTGTTCCACGCTGGCCTCGTAACTCCACAGCGTAGTCACGTCGTCACCGAACGCCGGGCTGGGGAAAAGGGTAGGGGGGAGGGTAAAGGGGAATTAGACGAAGACGCACGGAGATCGGGGATCGGGGAGAGCGGCTAGCTTCGGGGATGTCCACAATTATGTTGATAAGCTAAGTAGTGTGCTCAGAATCGCTGTCGTTTTAGGGGTTATTTAGGATAGATATTCTTAAGCGCTTACATGGTTTGAAATGGGGTTCAGTCAGTTACACCGAACGTTGGGGACGATTTCCTACGTAAACTTGGTCCGGCTGGTGTGAAGCGAATAGACCGTCTCGTCCCTCTGGCTTCTTGCCTACTGCTTAGCATTCCTGTACAGACTATTATCGACCCACTGCGACATACCTGACACTCTTGAAGTCGTCCAGGGTCAGCTGGCTCATCGGCACCCCCTTGGACTCCGCCAGGGCCACCACCTTGCCGCTCAGGTTGTGCGCCTCGCGGAATGGAATCTGTGAAAGCGGAAGATTAGGTGAGGGTCACGATAAGATTGACGATAATTACGGCTCCATTTCAGCTGCAGGACATCCTTCGGAATGTTATTTGAGCAGCTGTGCTGTGCTGTTGTGGAATTGATCGTTTAACGGTCTTGATTTGATTTATAAAAGGTAATAAGTCGACAGACGGCCATCACTGGTCCGCATGCCTGCTTCCCAGTGTCATTCAATTGCCTCAGGTGCATTGAATTCCGCGCATGTGCTCCACATAGCTCTTCTCTATAGAACCGCGTGCGGTTGGATTGAATACTCAGTTGTCCGTCACTTCGGAAGTCACTCACGTTCTGTCTGACTAGGTAGTAGGCCACGTCGGTGGCGAGCATTCCCTCTGAGAGCACCTGCTTACACCGGTCAGAGTCCACCGTCAGGGTCGAGATGACTCCAGTCATCACACGCAGCACGCCTGCGGAGGGGGGGGGGGGGCGGTGTTAGTATGTAGTATGTGTAGTGTGTACGGGGTACGGGGCAGTGTCAGAGCACAGCACGGCACAGCCGGCGGGCAATGGGGTCAGGATCGGTGAACGGGGTGGTTGGCGGACGACGGGGCAGTATCCGTGCGTGGGACTGGAGCAGTGTCATTTATATTAGGGCTTTAGCACAGTAATTTATAACACACTACACAGAACGGTTGGAGGCTTGCGATGAAGCGCATGATTCAAGTAGCGCGTTTCCATTAGCTCGACGCCTGATGTTATGCTGTTCCGCAAAGCACGATGAAAATCCCTCTCATAGATGGCGTTAGTAAAAGCCGCCTGAACGTAGGCTGTGCCGCAACACAAAACACGTCAAACGAGCCGTGGGATCAGGTGGATTGAAAAGTTACAGTCTTACGGGGTTATGTCGCTTAGCTAAGCCCGCCAGTGCCCTGGAAATGTTGCAACTTACTTATGATTCCCTGAATCACACGCACACTTCGGTTTCAAAATTAGCTCCCCTCAACTCTCGTGGCGACACGGCGCTTGTTCTACCGCAGGCCATCGCCCTACCGATCATGTTGTCGACCGAGTCGAAGAGCAGCTCCTTGTCCTCCTGGAAGTCCTTGTTGTAAGTGGACGGCGTGCCCTTGATGGCGCCCATCAGACCGACGCAGTTACCCAGGAAGCGGCCTGCCTTTCCTCGGGCCAGCTCCAGTCCGTCCGGGTTCCTGTGGGTCGGTTCGAACGGGGAGTGCTCAGATGAATACTGGGTGTGTTTGCTATATAGATGACGTATTGTTGTTTTATATCAGCGGCTAATTATTGAAATTTCCAAACAAGCTGTCAGGGAAATGTTACGAGCAGTAGTAATTTTGAAGTACATCAAACGAGGCAGCAGCGATTCGAATTGATAGACATCACCAAAGCTTTCTTGGCTTGCAATCAGCAAATAACATGATTTGCCTACAAAGTAGCCTGAGACCACAGCATGCAATCATGGACGCACAGTTTGTACACCGGCTATCTCATAACCTCAAGCCGCCGCCCATCATCCATTTCGCTTGACAAGAAAACCGGACCACCTTGTTGTCCGATGTCATCTCGTCTCCAGATTTCCACCCACCTTTTCTGCGGCATCAGTGAGCTGCCGGTGCTGTACGCGTCGGCGATCCGCACCAGTCCGAACGTCGGAGTCGAGAAGATGATCAGGTCCTCGGCCAACCGGGAGAAGTGTGTGCCCACCAGGGACGTCCAGAACAGAAACTCAACTGAGCGAAGCAGAGGGGTGGCGGTTAAAGGCTGTTGGTCGCTGACTGGGTTGATTTTTCCTTTTTTATTTTCCGTATGATTCGAAGTCCACAGCCTGAATCTGAATTTAGTCGCACTGTCACCTAACATTCCCTACGTGGCTCGATGCTCATGACTCAATCAACAAGGGTGACATATTGAATCGATGTCGGCAGCCGCTCACAATCCCATTTGCCTTTACCGAATATCTCTAACAAATGTAATGTAGTTTTCAGTCACCGATTCCGTTCCCGTTAGTAGTCCAATTTTCCCATTTTAGTCCCAGCCCTCACCGACGAAGGTCCTCTCTGTTCCCCTCCCTCTCTGATGTAGTCCCTCTCTAGTCCCCCATCCCGTTCCCTAATAGTCCCCACCCCTCACCGATATAGTCCCTGTCGCTGACAGCGTGCATGCTGTTGGGCGTCACTCCGCGAAACTCTAGCTCGGCCGCCAGCTGGTGCCGATCCACAGAGAATGGGTTACCGGCCAGGGCGCCGGAGCCGAGCGGACACTGCTGTACTCGCTCACAGAGCTGAGAGAGCCGCGTCAGGTCGGCCATCAGGAACCAGCCGTGGCTGCCGGGTGGAAGGTAGTCAGACGGGGTATCGTGGGGTGGCGGAGGGGGTGGGTAGGTGTAAAAACGGTGTTACAGCTCACGGTGGCGGGTCAGACTAGAGAATGTGACACGACGGCAGACATGACAGACGGCAGACGTGACGGATCAGCATGGTGTGACGCGTGACGGATGTTTGATAGTTATTGCAGCTCGGAGCAGACGTGACGGTTCGGGTGGTATGACGGTTATGTTTCAGACTTCAGACGAGCAATAGCAGAATGACAGGATCGGGGCAGTCGTGACAGTATGGTTGTGGCGTGGCAGATCGGAGATTCGGAAAACTGATCGTGGCTGGGTATGTGTCCCTGGATTGGACATGGCTGCAGTTAGCTTTTGCAGGCGTCATAAACTCAGCTCTGTAACGATCGGTTCGCTCTTTCTTTTTTACTTCGGCGAAGGTGTTTTCATTGCCTTTTCAAATCGTCGTAGTTTGGTAAACGTTTTCAGCACACAAATAAGATTCGTGAACTATCGAAATCCTTCCATCGTCTCTGCCTCGCTAAACCTTTTCGACATCCTGTTTGCCGCCTTTGTGAGGAACACCGTACGCACTCTCTCACGCTCTTACCTCATGAGCCAGTGGCTCCAGCGGACGGGCTGGGCCGGCTGCAGATGGGTGAAGCCGGGCATCAACAGGTCCAGCTCCGCCTCGGCACGGTCCATGATGGTCTGACGGCACACGGCACAAGGCGGAACACATTGTCACATTGCTCAGATGCGCACAATCATCCATACAAACGTGCATACGCTCGCCTCATTTGGGCAATGCGACAGAGCGCCAAGTATGCGGCGTAGACTGCATAAACTCGTAGCGCATCTGCCTCGCAAGTGTTTCAGGTGCCTGAGAAATGTCAGAGACCTTTAGTCTAAGAACGCCGGTCCCTCCCGAGACTGACACCGAGAGTATATTGCTGAGCTTCCAATCGATTCCTCTGCCCCCGTCGTTCACTCACGGTGATGAGCTGCCTCATGAGCGGCCGCAGCTCGGTCCCGATGACGTCCCTCAGCCAGAGACGGGTGTCTGTGGCCACCTGGTCGTTCCGGCTGCGTCCCGTGTGCAGTTTGGCACCCGCCTGACCGATCAGCTCGGTGAGACGACGCTCGTTGGCCGTGTGGATGTCTTCATCGGAGGGCTGGATCGCGAACGTACCCGACTCCCATTCAGAGAGCACCTGTGGTTGAAGGGGGAGAGAGAGAGAGAAAGAGAGAGAGAGAGAGAGAGAGAGAGAGAGAGGAGAGAGAGAGAGAGAGAGAGATGTGAATGTTTCTTTTGACGATTTATTCCATGTAGCGAGACACGCAGCTGCCTACTATCTCTTGACTTCGATTGATTGGGACGCGCTCTGCTGCTGAAAGGAGTCATGTTTGGAGGGGCTGAAAGGTGCCGAGCGTGAACAATGAGTTCGTACCTGATCGAGGCCGGTCTGAATCTGACCCTCTTCCTCAGCAGTCAGCAGTCCTGCCTTGTGGATCGCCTTGGCGTAAGCCTTGCTGCCCTGAGAACGGAGACATTTCGTCAGTTGGTGATACTGTCTGTTATACAAGGTCCTAATGGGAGGACAGGTTTGCGAAATGTATGCTGAAAGAATTTCTGAAGATTTATACACGCTCCATTATTATCGGTCGGGATGTATGTACATAGATACTAGATCTTGCATGCATAGAGCTCTTGCATGGCCGGCATTCACTTCGCTTTCATCGGAGCCCATCCCATCAGTGTTTATTTTCGCGAGGACTGTGCGACCACATGACACGGGCCGCCCAGGAAACAGTCACGTCACTCAGGGCCTCTGGCATAACAGTCGGCATTCAGACTGTTATGCCAGTCAGGCCCGTCAGAGGAAAAGGGCAGTCATCCTGTGCCGTGGCATCTAACTACACACCAATCGCTCTCGTCCGTATAGTCAGTCTACACAATGAATATCTCAGTCACTATGACTCAGCCCCACTGGGAGCAGGGAGCCAACAAATCGGGAGTCGGGAGCCATCACAACGAGAGCTGGCGAGTCACCACCCCGGTAGTCGGGAGTCGGGGAACCACCACACCGGGAGCTGGGGAGCCACAAAACCGGGAGACCGTCACTTCACTCACCTGAATGTCCTGTTTGTACATGCGCCTGTCGTAGCCGATGGAGGCGTTGAATTTCTCCATGTCGGGGTCAACGGCTCCGGTGAAGCGGCCGCCCCACAGCTTGCCCTTTTCCTCGCCTGCGCCCGACATCCTCTGAGGGAATACCCCGGTGCAGGTCAGCGGTTAGACGAAGGTGACGTTGTCGGGCTTACATCATTGTATGCATCTGTTTAAGCACAAAGTCCTGCAATGCAATGCATTCTAATGACAGTCACAGGTCCAAACTACATAAATATACACGATGAGAAGTGTTGTTCAATGTGCTGCCCAATAAGACGATCACGAGACTTAATCGATGATGACTCCGCATTTTCAGTAAAATAACGTAAGCCGCATGTCTTATCTCGTGTCGAATTCCTGTTGGGAGCCAACTATCCACTGTTGCCAGCGCTGCTCAGTTGTTATTCATGACGTAGCTCGACCCTCCCTCCCAACACTGAACGTTCGACAAACAGGAATACCACAGCCTGGATGCCGCGGTAGTCCAAAGGTCAGCACCGAGCGCGAGGTCACACCCACCCGGCCGCCAGGAGACATAACAGCGGGTACAGACTCCAAAGTACCGATGTTAGTTGGCTTGAACATCCCTGATCTCGCCACAAATGCTATCTATGCAATTTAGACGATCTCTGCATCGATAATATATTTCCCCGGCGTTCAATATCGGAGACGTTTTCACTACGGTAACGTTAGTCACATTTATGTCCTCTCCAGAATATCGACGAACTGCCATGACGAACCCCGCCCCGTTTCCGTCCACTTACCGCGTCTGTGCAGTATCGACAGGCTGTCTCAGCTGTATCAGCCTCCTACCGCAGTCAGTCCCGGCTCCCACCGACCACGGACGTCGAGTGTGGAGTACCGACGCAGCTGCCGGCATGCCTCGCTCCACCCCTCAGCTGGCGCGCCCCCTGGCGGTCGACCGGACGGCAACCAGCCGGCAAGGGCGCCTCCCCGAGGCGGCAAGGTCAACCAAGGGTGCGGGAAGGGTGACCGGGGGTCCAGTCGCCCCCCCCCCCTTCCCTTCCGTCGGTGGCCATTGATACTCGGTATAGGTTCGGTAGGGGTATCGAGTATTCAGTCGTCCAGATATAGTACTACCTACTCTGGATGCTGTATTGATCTTTCGGTCCCCGTGCCATGCCCGGATCGCCCATCTCCCTCGCGGGGCTCATTGGATCTTATCGGATTTTATCAATGGCTGATCTGCGCCACCAACTCCGGGCATGTTCATCCGTTCTGTCTTGTCCTTAGATGGTCCTTACCAGCATGTCACTTCCGTCCCATCGGTAAGGTCTTTGCCACTGCGGCGCACCGTCTTCGGTGGTCCGCACTGTGTCCAATGTCTTCTACACCCTGTCCTATAATCCTATTGCTCTGCTATGGCCTATTCAGACCGAAAGAGCTTTTTCCAATAAAGGAAAACAAACGAGCCGACAAATCACAAATATCCGAATTGTAGTCGAGAGTCCAAGTCAAACGAACGTTACTATACCCTTCTTAACCCTAGTAGCGCATCAATATTGTATCGATGTTGTATCAATATTGACAACAATGTTGTATCGATGTAATTCTGTTAGCCACTTTCGACATTGATACGATGTTGAATTTCGACATCGTATCAATATTGACAGGACAACATTGTACAACATTGTTTCGATGTTGATACAACATTGTCTCGATGTTGATTTTTGGTTGATTCAACATTGTCTCGATGTTGATACAACATTGTCTCGATGCTGATTCTTGGTTGATTCAACATTGTCTCGATGTTGACGCAACATTGTCTCGATGCTGATTCTTGGTTAATTTAACATTGTCTCGATGTTGATACAACATTGTCTCGATGTTGTTGTGGACAGACCTATAGGGTAAGGTGCCTAATTAGCGACCCTTTCCGATTTGCGACCTACCTCCCTACAGAAAAACTGGCAGGAGAAAACGGGGTAAAAACATAGTCAAAAGGTCAGCCATACTTTGGTTATCAAATTAAATTATTTTCCGGTTGTCGATGTTTCTTGTGGGACGTTTCAGGTGAGTTTAAATAAAAATGACGAGTTTCTTATCCAAAACGTGTGTATTTGGGCCCTCTCTGACGAAAAGCGATGCACATTAGGATGATGCACCTTCTTTATCCTTAATCGACATTCCTTTTCTAATTGATTGCCGTTTTCCCATAGTGAATCGCTCAACTGTGCACAGCATGGCGGTTAAAAATGTGTCGCAACTCATATTTCCTATTTGCGCCTGACATGGGCCTCGTTTCATAAAACTCTGCCGTAACTTACACCTTTCCGTAATTCACACCCTTTCAAACTACGGAGCGCAAATGAAGCGGTTTCACAAAGCCACAAATACACTGTGAGCCACAACTGGAATAGTTTACACCTCCGTAACTAAGCACATTTGCGTAGTTACCGTAATTTATCAAGCGTCCTACAAATTACAATTTCGTGTCAACACTTATTTTTTACGAGAAATTATAAAACAATTATGTTGAATTTTAATCTTAAAAATTATTTATGAAAAAACAAAATTGATATTGATGACCATCCTTTATTAAATAAATATATGGAAAACAGCAGAAAGCCAGCTAAGCAGAAGTGCCTTACTACGAAAGTGGCGCGGCGCGGCGAATAAACAAAATTCCGATAGCTGCCACAAAAAGCGACTGGTACAGAAGATTTGCAGTTTCTTTTTCTCATTTTGGCTGTTCTTTCTTCCTCACCGGGCTCAACATGATAAAATATATCAAAAATTAGCTTCGAATCTTCACATTAATTCAAATTCACGCAACATTTTTGTGCGTAGTTTACACCACTGATATCAAGAACTTGTTAAAATATTTGGCGTTAATTACGTCGTTTTATGAAACCCAAATGGCATCAATTGGTCCGGATTTGAGCATTTGCCGTAAATGAAGCTCCGTAATTTCGATGGCGTGAATTACTCCGGTCTCCGGCTTTATGAAACCGAATTGGCATCAAATACGCCAAATCTGGCATAATTGACGGAACGCCGTAAGTAATTCCTTTTATGAAACGAGGCCATGGTCGCAAATAGCTCAAGAAGGGAAAGAAAGTGGAAAAGAGAGAAATGAAAATGAGGTGTTGGTGAAGCTTGCAATGTGTGGCAGGGGATGCCAAATGTCGTCACCGACTGCAGGGGTGCCGAATTCAGCGCGGACCTCGAATATCATACAAGATATCCCGCAAAATTTGGGTTTCCGCCTTCTTTTCGCCTTCGGTGCATCACGTGATCAGTTTTTACTTACGTAAATGTGTTGGATAAACGTTCCTGTTCGAGTGATTGAGTGCTTTGCGTATAGGCTACCTTTTTTGAGATCATATTTCATCTTTTCAGGCGTCGCATTTTTTTTGCCATTTTTAATATGGGGAAACCCATAGACTTATTAGCGACCCTCCCCGGTCGCTAATCGGGAAGAGTTCCCTATTAGCGTTTTTTGCAATGGTTTGCCAAAATGATCACTACAAATAAGTTAGTGAATATTGGGGCAGAAAATGACTATATTTTAATAGAAAAATGAACGATCTCTCCGAAAATCAAGCCAGTAACACAGTGGCACCTACAGAGCGTGAGCAATGACGGTTCAAATTAAGTGGGTCGCTAATTAGGCACCTTACCCTACGTGTACGAAATCCCGTATCCCGTAATTACCTAAAATATTCCAGCGTCACCGTCACAGTCAATATTCGGGGGAAAATGTATTTCTATGATATATGCACAGCTCTTCACTTTTTTCGAGTCAGTTACACTTCACATTCACGTCACACAACCTCGGCCGACGCTCAGTCTCCGCCATCTTCACATCTTGAGCGGTTGAGTCAGGGCCGTGGGGGTTGAGTCGCCTGTCGAGCCTCGCACTCCTGTAACAAAGCGGAGATTCCTATGTAATTATTAGGTATGCTATTAATAACCTTATGCTCATATTAGTAATTATATTCAAAAAGAAAAGTACAGATTAATATATTTCGACTTGCGCCTTCATCAGAATATGAGATCAATTTGTCGACACACGAAATAAAACTAAGACGATTCACTGAGTACAAACGTGCATAAATAAACGGTGGCCTTCAATTCAAGATTAGGGTTAGGGGAGAGTGGGGTGGGTTGTATCAGTTTTTACTCCGAGACCCATAACCTCGTAACTATCCGTGATAAACTCATTATTTCCATACCATCCCCTTCCTTGATTCTTCTGCTTTTTTGTGCAAAGTAACTTTTCCGCTACCTCTACCAGTTTTTCTTCTACGGTCTCCCGAATAAAACAATGTTTTTGATACAACTTGCCCCATGGCTTGGGTGAGTTGTATCACATGGTGGGGTAATTTGTATCACTATTTCACGTTTCAGGGAGTGTGCTTGCTACTGGTTTTGAACATAACAACAACATTAAATGGGGTTAACACAATGTATAGGTATGCTCAAAGGCTTCACTTTATTAGACCAAACTTAGGTCAATGCAATCCGAACGAAACATCAACAGACTAGACGCAAAAGTGGCAGGCAAAGCCAACATGACAGGCAAAGAAGCCAACACATTGTGCCAAAATGGAACGAGCATTGACTAGCTACCTACAAACGCGAGCCAGGGCTTAGCTTTCGCGATCAAAAGCAACATACCCATACATACATACATACATACATGTTACAACATACCCCACCCGGCTCTGATACAACATGTACCTAGCCGCCATCTTGGAAAAAACATCCTCGTGCTAAAAAACAGCGGACAGCTGGAGAAATCCGTTTTCACTCACGCAGTCTTAGAACCTACCCTCACCACCGCTACGGAGATCTTTCAAACTCGTGCACATCTAAATGCCCAGAACACACATTTTCTTGCAACTTATTTTTTTAGAATGACATTAAAAAACATAAAATCGGCTCTCACCTCGAGACGCGTCCACTCAGCCACAAGACAGAACAGGGAAAGATGGCGCCCGGAAAACCTCGTCGGCTGGTCGTGTCGCGAGCGCCATCCATTGGATAAGTTTGGCACAATTCGCCCTGATACAACTTGGACATGATACAACTCTCCCCGCTCTCCCCTACACATTGAGTAGGTCGAAATTCTATCATCATCATAGGTGTACATAAATAAACACAACATGACAGTCAATAAAGCTGAACACGTATAATACATATTTAACACTTTGTAATACATATTTATAGAATGATATCAACGGTAATAAATTGGGCCTTTGAGTAAATTCAGTTCAGTCATTTTCAGCTCAGATAATAGTTGTTTATGTAAGTGCATTTAGCATCACACATGTACCTATGCGTCCTACTACCATGAATCGCCTTGCATGAATCTATTCTTTCATACTTACCGGGCCCTGTTTCAAGTCATGACGCTACATGACGCCACCGGCAGCACTTTTTCTCTTTGCCGCAGGCAAGTGAGTGACGACGGTGATCGCCACCATTTTGAAGAGAACGTTTCAGCGCCAGTTTTTTTTTTTAACTTATCACTGCAATAACTAGGATAAATGCACTGATTGTCACACAGCAGAAACTGGCGGAAACCTACATGGTCGGATCGAAAGAGGAGACGCCAAACGGCACTGGACACAACACACTCAACACACCGGCGTCCGCACTCTGCGAGCCGGCACAACGGGACGGGGGACGCGCGGTCCCCTGTCGCGGTCTCCCCCTCTCTAGCCGGAGGCGAGGATGGGACCGCCCGCTGCCGGCCGCGTACAGTCTTCAAAACGGTCAGCGGTCGCTAGATTCCAGTCGGTACGGTCTCTGAAAGAGCACAGCGCACGACTGGTGGGAGGGGACCAAGGCACTAACAACCGTGATACTTGAATGGCACCGGTGGCACCCGAATAAAGTAATGTCGATACAATAATGCTGCTTAATTCAACGTAGGTTGAGGATGTTATAAAAGGATTTTATGAAGTGGAGCTATCTTTATTTAAGGATCGATTCACTTTATAACTCTTTATATATCATATTGAAGACGTATATGCCTATATAAGATACCAATAGGTACTATTTCTATCAATACGACCATATTCGTCTATTTGGAACCTCAGTGATCCCACCCTTTAAGTCAGATTGACGTCTTTATAGGACCTGTCGAGCCAGCCCACGGGACCCCTTACACCCGAGGGGGCATTTGCCCCCTTTAATGCTGTCAAGTGTCAACACAACTGCTGGGTAATATAGTAATTAAATCACAATGTTGGAACTCTACTTTTATCAATATTGTGAAATCAACATCGTGACAATCTTGTATCAATGTTGAATCACAACGTTGAAATTCTACCTCTGTCGATATTGTGAACTCAACATTGGGACAATGTTGTATCGATGTTGAACTACAATGTTGAACTTCAACCAAGATTCGACAAAGCACAACCAAATATCAACGTGGTATCAACGTTGAATCAATGTTGAATTCGTGTTGAAGCACCAATATTGACAATCAACCTGATTTCAACATATCTCAATGTTGTATCAATGTTGTGTGCTACTAGGGTAACCCTCGCCCGCACATGCCATTTTCCCATCCTAGAACGCACATGGGGGGGGGGGGTGGTTGCCACCCCCCGCGCCATTTCGTTCCTGTTGGAGATAGAGCTTAGCGGTAAAGACCAAAAAGATTCTTTGGGAAGAGACGAATCCAATGATACCCAGTTTTACCTTCTCAGGTCAGTCATTGACCTTCCAGGTCAGGTCAAACTAAAAAATGTTGCTGTTTTGGGTCACCGTTGGATATCAAGTGCGCTGCTTATCATATACCGATAACGATGCTGTTTTCTGGTGCCAAGCCAGCTAGAACCTCTTTTTCACACTACCCGACCAGGTTTTTGCTGCTGAGGTCATTTCCGGTCAAGTTAGGTCAAGGTCAATTATATGTGTTTGTATGTCTGTGTGTGTCTGTGTGTATACTGATGTGTGCACCGATTGTTTATGTGTCCATATTACATGAAATCATGATCTGAGAAGCTTTTACCAAAAATGCAGTCAAAAAACTTCACAAAAAGTAAATTCCGCTTGTCTAAAACGCAATTATCTTAGATGACCTAGGTTGACCTTGACCTTGACCTTGACATCTGTACATCGTCGAACAACATGTTCCATGATGGGTGGGAGGTAAGACTGGTAAAAAAGGCCGAAATCAAGGTGTCAAAAGCTCACAAGGCCCATAGCCAACGCAAGATGTCGAGAATTGGCCATTTGGGTCATGACATGACCTGAAAAACAAGGTCATATCTCCGAAACCAAAAGTCACAGAAACTTGAAATTTTCAGTGGACATCAAGAAAGGATAGAGGAGCAGCTATACGAAAAATCAGCCTTCTAGCTCTAAAAATGTTGAGTGCAGAGCAGAAAGACTACCTGGGGGGGGGGGGTGGCAACCACCCCCCCCCCCATGTGCGGGCGAGGGTTAAAGGGACCCTCCCACCTTCAAAAAAGTTAATGAATTGGCATGAAAGTGATGTCCCTTGGTTCAGAAAGAGCGAAAACGAATATCTACCAAATTTCACCGAAAAATATTCACTGGTTTTCAAGATATTAGGCTTTTACTTTTGTTTACTTTTTGGGATCTCCCCTGTTACTAGCGACTTTATTTGGAAGCAATAATTTGGCAGCCTTAAAGTGCGGCAGACGTTGCGCGCAAAGCAGCGTATACCACCACGTGTTAACGATGGTTTTAGTCTAAGATTTAAAAATCGTTAGATCTCCGCTGACGTCACAAATTCTAAGGGGGCATTCCAATGCATTAGCCCCTTAGAATCCGAAAACTGCAAGTTTGAAATTCCATATCTTCGAATTAAAGCATTTTTCGATGTTGTGAGTGCCCAAACCGGTATTTGCAGGCCATGGCCACCAATTTGGCTATCTTAACTCAAAACTAATGTTAAGGTGGGAGTGTCCCTTTAACCCGCGCCCAGATGGGGTCTGCCGAGCAACGCGGTCTGATGGGGGGGGGGGCCATTTTGGCCCCCCCTTCAGATCTCGAGAACCACGCAACATAGCGACAAGCGGTAAACGGTGTTGGATAGCCCCAACGAGGAACTACCTTGTGACCCAATTTCATTGACCTCGGTCAAACCGATGACGTCACAGGTCAGGTCAAAGGTCGAATTTTCACCGTTTACAGGCATTTCAAGAAATGCGTTGTAAAATCGTGTAAAATGCATTTCATTGAAAATCATCGATGGGGAAATGTTCTTCGAACACATATTTTGCTATTTGAGGTCACTGATACCAGGTCAGGTCACAGAGGTCAGGTCACTGGGGGGTCACAATATGAAAGCGTCGTGTGATACATGTTTTATGGTCCATTTTACATGACAAATGCGATTATGTGGGTCAGACAGACTTTAGGGCCAGCTTAGGTCACGTTTTGGTCAAGGTCAGGTCAAGGTCAGGTCAAAGTCAGGTGAAATTAGGTCAAATTTCAAAGTTGATATTTTTGCATAAAATGGGTATCGATTCGATGCAGCTCGTCACGGGGAATTCAATGGTGGTCTCCGTTTTGCGCTACGAGGTCTAGAATTGCTAAAAATTGAGTTCAAAAATTTGACGTCATCAATTTTTAAGTTTTTTCGCTATAACTTGGCCAAAAAAAGAGGTATCGATCTAAAATTTGGTATGTATATCGAAGAGCGCAAGGACTATCACATATATTCCGGTTTTTTCGAAATTCGAAAAAAAATTGGAAATTTTTTGAGTTTTTCTAAAAAAATCAATTTTTTTGATTTTTGGGGGTCAAAATCCAAAAATTTCGAAAATCCGAGATAGCAGTTTTGTAGCGCCGTCTTTTCTCTACACAACCACATAAAGAACTTTAAAATTGCTTGTTAACTGTAGAATTGGTGAGCGTTTCAAGATGTCATGTTTTTTGCTCATTTTTACTCGAGCATGACCTCAGTTTGACCTCAATAACTCCTGACCTGAGGTGACCTGTGACTTGAAATTTTGTGTGAAGGTGTCAAATTGATGTCCGGTAAGGTACCCAAAATTGCGCGCCGCCGTTTTCTCGCTATTTAAGAAAAACCACAGGGGGGGGGCCAAAATGCCCCCCCATCAGGGCGCGGGTTAATGCATGTATTTATATCGCATTGCAGTGAGCACGAATCTCGATACATAATCATATTGCATGCGCTGAACACATCAATAGAGCGTCCTCAAAGCCTAATCAAAACACAATGAAATTAATATTTCTTCCTCTTGACATGGGATGAAAATGCGATGAAAACATATGCTCGCCCTTCGACACAGCCAACCATAAACCAGACATCATCTGAGACAAACGTGACTCCAATCATCGATGATGCCCGACATCCCAAGAATATTCATGCATTGTCTCCTACTTCCCCACATCCACTAACGTTCCTACTTGACCCGCTAGTTGACGAATTGCCGCATCTTACCGCGAACACGCGGGCTTAGGTCAATTAATGGCAATCAGTCTAGCACAGAGTCGGTCCCGGTCCGTCTGTATCTAAATTGCTACTCATTCACATCACAGCGAATCCTAATATCTCTGGCAAGTGGCAAGTGCGCGTTTACAATTCACATCGCGGAGATTCCCTGACCGCAACAGCAGCGGCACGCACCCCCTCCTGGTCCAAGCCACCGAGCCATCAGGTCTCAACCAATAGCCATTGACCAAAACGGCTTGACTATCAGGTTTTCACCATCAGGCCCGACCAACGAGCCTGGACCAGCGGGTCTCGACTAACATCCATCGACCATCAGATTTTGACCAACAGACCTCCACCAACAGGCCTTGACCATCAGGCCTTAACAGCAGGTTCACTGGTTCAGTGTGCCGGAGGCTCCGTCAAAGCGCTATCAGTCGACTGAAGGCTCACTTCATCACCCTGCTCCGTTCCACTGGGTCAGCTCTGCAGGGTGCTTCGTAAGTATGATGGCACTGAAACGCAGGGTCAGTGGGCGTCACGCCGAAGCAGGCCCCGTGTCAAGCGCACCAGCGACTGCCCGGTCTCGGAAGCGGGCGACATCGATGGACGGGGAGCGACACGGAGTGGTTGCGCAACACAAAACGGAGCACGGTTCAAAGCTGGACTGCGATCTAGCTACTAATCAACAGGGCTGCACACGGCAAGTGTTTCAGCTGTCGGCCTCACTACAACATTTAAATTGATGCACATTTAGACACAAGCTCTCTGAATCACGTTAATTGTCAAGTGCTGCACGTACTTCTACACATGAAAATCGCGAGGTAAGCGGATATTTATAGCCATCCGAGACAAAAACCAGATGCCAGTTTTACCAACAGAAAAATAGCCGCCTGCCGGATTTTTTTTCTTTTTGCCTTAAGCCCACATACGCGATAAACGCGATGGGCACGTATACGGATGGGGCTTTACCGTTTACGCTCCGTATGTGAAGCGGTCTTGAGGCAAAAAATTCCGGCAGGCGGCTATTTTTCTGTTAGTAAAACTAGCCTCTGGTTTTCGAACACATGCACATTGCACATCATCAGTGGTCACTGGCTATATGTCAATGGGTCGACTCTAATCATTGGTCGCTACCCAGTTACACATGCTGTCAATGACTGGTCTTTCGGTTACTCATCTACATCCCGTTAGAGCGCCAGGTCTCCTCTGAGAGCTAGGTGACGACAACCTTATATAGTTAACAACACTAAAACTGTACAAATCTACTACTCGACGCATAGGCAATTAGATCCCGCATGTTTTTCTCTAAAAAGAACGATTAGTGCACACAAAACTACGGGCTTAGCACCACATATTGCAAGATAAGACAGTTACCAGACACCGTCAAAGCGAAAGACAAAGTGATTCCACGGCCACTGCGGAGCACAATGCTAAGAAGTGCGAGATTCAGACATTCACCACAGTTTCCCAGTGCGGGGAAAAACTAGGTAGACAGAGGCGTTTTCCGTTTCCAGTGCGAATGTATCAACAAAAGCAACAGCAGGGATGCCCAGCTCACTGCACAAGATATAGTCCAAGAGTTCATATTCAGAAAAGAAAAGACGACAGACAAAAGATGATCCCACTATGCAGCGGAGTAGCTCAGCAGACGTATGAACACAGCAGTCGGAGATGGTAGAGTCTTGAGGGTAGAGTTAGCTCAGAGAGCTCAGTAGCTCAGAGAGAGCTCAGAGTGGGCCCAGAGCGAGTCCAGAGAGTTCAGAGCGAGTCCGAGAGCTCAAAGAGAGCTCAGAGTTCATGGTGAGTTTAGAGTAAGCTCCAGGTGAGAGGTAGCCGTGCAGCTTCAGTCAACCGGCGTGTTAGCGTCCCCAGCGGCCGCGCCGGGGGCTGCAGCCATCACCGGTTCCAGCTCCTGCAGGTGGCTGGCGCGGCCAGAGGTACCGGTCGGCACAGAGGTCGTGCGCGTCTTATTAGAGGAGAGCAGCGGGCCCGCTCTACCGTCGGAGGTCGGGGAGCGACAGCCGCGACACCAGCGGCAGACGCCCCAACTATCCAGGTGGCGCAGGATGATCCGACGCGACCGCTCCCGCATGGTGAACAACAGGAAGATGATGACGCCCTGCAGACAGTTGACGGCGTCCGAGACGTACCTGCCGCACACGAACGTGCATATCTGTCAGACGAGTACACTGGAGTCATGCATACTGGCCGGACAGACGGTCCTGCGCTCGAAACACTTGGAGAAGGTGACGGAAGTTCCTCAATTCACCTGACATGAGTAATTTGTCGATTGAGGACGGTTGAATGTGCATTTATCCGTTTCTCGTTAGATCGTTAGAGATAGTATCAACTTCCGAGTTTTCCCCGGTACTGTTTGCATCTCCAGCATGACATCTACCAAGACCCCATGGCTGGGATCTTCCACCGAACGCGCCCCATTGTGAGGAGGTAGGTAAATATTATTGTTCCGGGTCGTACACTGAATCAATCTTGTCGTCACTGAGTCAAGCGTCGTGAGTCAACCTCGTACTTATTCTCGTCTTGCCTGTGTGATATCATCTAAAAATGACTTTCAACGAGTGCAGTTAGCTTTGGGCTTGTAGTCATTTAGGAAACAAATAAACATCTTTTTAACTTAGCTGTCCCCTCGCCCCACATTAGGAAAGTAACGACGGACGAGTTTTCAAACGGTTTCAACAGCATTAGGAGTGGAACGGCACAGGGAATGCTACCCCTCGTGTGCGCTCTAGGATGGCCAAATCTCGAGTTTAGGTTATGGCATGTGCGGGTTAATTTCTGAGTTTGTTTATTTTTCAATGGTTGTGTTTCGCTCGGAATATACGCAAGCGTGACTGAAAAGAAGAGCTCGAGCTACGGTGTCATTAACTGTTAACCAACACACATTTGGTCACATTTTGATTCCATTTCGTCAACTTAGATCCATAGTTGATTATTAGGTGGCAAGTGCATCAACGGCGGTTGCTTTAATACGGTCTTTCTAAGCTTTATCAGGCTACAATTGTTTTAGTTATAGCTGATTTATCAATTCATCAGACCTTATTTTCGTCAACAGAGACGAATAACGCTTCGGTAGTCACAGGGGTAGACGAACTAGCACAAACAAAGGCCTCGTGCCGTGACAAGCGATACTAGCAAATAATGACTACCGCTGCTAACTGCAGTGCCGTCCACTCCACACGCAATGGGACCGGGTTTTAGAAGCATGAAAAACACGTAAACGGGGGGGGGGGGGCATTTGGCTTGTTTTCGCTTACGCTGCAGTAGGTAGTAGGCCCCCAAAGTCTCATTTCCCATTGATAAAGGCTACTGCCATACGAGTATGCTATACCTATAAATATAGTATACGTGTGGCACCGAATCGATGCGTTTATCGCCAAAACGTCTCGGTCTGATAAAACCAGCAATACGCAATTTGTGTTGTGGAAACAAATCGTAAAGCCTGCTCTGCGAATTTATTGACCTGCAAATTCACCAACTGCGCGCTGAACTTAAGACAGTTATTTCAGCCCAGACAGGTCGGAGGTTTTCGCAGCTGTAGGGTGTCCATCAGGCAAGCACTACTACAGCCTTGGTCGGACACTTGGCAGTCGACATCGTGATGTTTAGTGAAAAGAAGCTCATCAAGCTTAATGTATGCGTGCATGCGAAATTCCACTATGTACTGATTATTAGCACGGAGAAAGATTGAACGAATGTTTCTAGACCAGTGCAGAGCAGCTAGTTAAAGTCAGTGAGTGGGATGAACCGTCCGTTTCGTCCTTGTGAGCACGCTCCACTTCATTTTGCCTTCAGCTTGAGCTCTCCCGTCTAACACGATTAAAAGAGGCCGCAGTGCGCATGTGCGCGGAAGAATGACGCTTTGAACGTTACGACTTACCAGAGTACCTCGCTGCCCACATTCACAGACAGAGCCTCGGCCACCCAGGTAATGCCCATCACAATGAACAGATTCACGTAGATCTTCAGCCTGCGAAGACACAAGGCAAGGCGTCAACCAACGTGTCAACAAACGAATACGGATTATACATAATGCAGGTTCATGCAGGTTATACGCAATTGTCTGGAGATATTTTATCAAAACTGGCGTAAAAAGCAATCCCTGAATATTTGTCTGTTCTGTTGATCAGATGGGTAAACACTCAGCCCAGCCTGGAATCTGGCTCAACACTTCGATAGGAATCAAGGGATGAGGCGCCTGCCGCTTGTCCAGTCATTTCAATTTATCAAACACTCGGACAAAAACAAACAGTGGTCATCGCTATTAGCTAACGGCTGATGATTCCATGCGGTTTTAGCCCTGCAAAGCAGCAAACAGCGCGGTACAGTGTTTATGTCTGCCCCAAAATAAGGACCTGTGAAGTGTCAGGACCAGTGTTCTCCGGGTAACATATACAGCAGTGCTCTGGCTCTCAAACTCAGCACCTTGCTACAAATCGTCTGACGTCACAGATCGCTGCTATGACGTCACTAAGTCTCTCCAATGACGTCATTGGGTCTCAGAGAACAGGCCCAGCTCACCAGTGGACATGTTCCCGCGGATAAAGGGTTCGTTTGGAATTTTTAATATCACGGATATTCCAGGAATATGACGTTCATCTGTCCGATTTGTCGAAACGGGATAATATAATAACCCAGTCGCCGACCACAGGCTTTGCCTGAATATTCCCCACGTCAACCACAATGACCACAAAGCAGCATGTCTCTAACGGGCAACGAGAGACTCAGCGAAGAGCTGAGCCGTTCAAGATATCCTACAGCCTACGAGCCTCAGACGGGGATGGAGGGCCCGTTCGGGAAACAGAGCCGTACCTCACATTTTTTAACAAAAAGATCACATCAGTCACGGGTACTGCGTTTCAATACAGTCTCCCAGTGTGCTCGAGAAGTTCAGCCACTTTAGAGAAGGTCACGAGGCCCTGTCATGTGACGCCCCTGGCCTGTTCCAAAGAGGGGACTTCCAGTTTCCGCCTTCCGCTGTTTATATTGCGGGACAAAAGGAGCCGACGTTAACAGAAAGTCTGAAGGCTGGAAAACGCATGTTTAGCTGCATTCACGTGTGAACTGTGAATCCACGTTCCCAGAGACGGAAGACCTGCCAGGCTTCAATGGTTTGAATCACCCACAGACGGCTCGCATTTATAAACATTTCACTTCTAGGCCAATGGCGTAGTCTAACCGGTCTCGTGGTTACGGTTCATAAAAAGAAAGTGACCCACCAACCTGAGATGTATGTATGCCTACCAAACATGCAGGTATAACCAAACATACACGGCTGCAAACCGATGAAAAAGATAAATGCACACGCTTATTCAAAGAATAAGAGTCCCTCCTAATTCAGTGGACATGAACGTCCTACTGACCTTTCGACGGCGGTTTTCTTTTTTCGCACCAGCTGCGTGTCGTGCTCGGACTTGAGCAGGCAGCGAGCGGTCATCAGGAAGAGGGCCAGGTTGGCGGTCATGAGCACGAGCAGAGGGCCGTGCAGGTAGGCCAGCAGCTCCCAGCGACCTGCAGAGCAGCGCACGGCATTGTCAGAGGTCACAGATCAACAACACACAGAGGTCAACACCTCACGGCCAGAGGTCAATCAACTGCCGGGCTAAGGGTCAGCATGGCACGCTCAAACATCAACACTTAGGTACGTGGCGCGCTTAAAAATCACCATAGCACGCTCAGAGGTCAACAATTCTGTCACAGGTCAGATGTCAACACTAAGGTCAGCGGCTCAGCGATCTGCATGACCTCGGCAGAGGTCATCAAGTGACGACCAGAGAAAACATTAAACACGACACTCCATTATCATAAGTCACCACGAATATTCACATTTTACATAATGAAGTACTGTGACTGACAGGTACCTACGATTCTGCAGGTGCATCCATAATTCCATGATGTTAAAAAAAAAAACGCTTGCATGTTATATATATTACCTGATGCTTGCCCTGATCACACGGTCATCTTGGGCATATACCGTGAGAGCAGTATGCAATGAATAGGATTTTTGTGAGCACTTACAAAGAAGGCATATCCTCTTGGAAAAGTCGGTATAATCAGTAAGGTTACCTGCAGGCTGCACCGAATCAATCAGTGCCAAACTCAAATTCCTGAACCCGCTTAAAGGGACCCTCCCACCCTTAACATTAGTTTTGAGTTGAGATAGCCAAGTTTGCGGCCAGGCTCAGAAACCACCATTTATCCTGGTCGCAACCCCCGCAGCTTTAAGGTGTTCAAGAAATTTCTTCCCTTTACTTGCAGGGTGGGACCAGCGTGGTCCCTATCTCTTAACCATTACGGGAATCTGATGACGTCATCAGGCTTTCGAACGTCCGTTAAATGTTTGACTAAAACGTTTTGTAGCACGCGGTGGTATATGCTGCTTTGCGCGCAACAAATGCCGCACTTTCAGATAAAGTCGCTAGGAACAGCGGAGATCCCAAAAAGTAAACAAAAGTAAAAGTCTAATATCTTGAAAACCGGTGAATATTTTTCGATGAAATTTGGTAGATATTCGTTTTTGCTCTTTCTGAACCGAGCGACATCACTTTCATGCCCATTCATTAACTTTTTTGAAGGTGGGAGGGTCCCTTTAAGTCCTGACGGGAGCCCGTCACTCGGCACAGGTACGATCACTCATTTTTTATTATTAACGAGCTGTTGACCGAGCTGCTTCGTTATCAAAATCATTACGCGATAAAATATATGTACTACGGGGGCACTCTAGATTCCGAGTGACTAAAAAATGTCAGTGCGTCTCGGCGGATTTTGAACTTTGAACTTTGCTTGATTTTAGGCATTTCGGCCGGATATACCTACCATTTCATGCCCTATCTCGGCGGCGCGTGCCGGACCTTCTCAAGCACGCAGAGTTGAATTGATTAATAGTTTCATGGCTGCAATCTGTGACACGTTTCAACAAACCGAGCATCTCAAGTGCGACCTCATCAACTCTAATATCATCAAATCATCAACGTTCTCAACTCTCCTGATGTGCAATCGATCGATTACCATTGGCGTGGGCATCGAATCGCAGCGGGCAAGCCACACTCGATTTATCATACCCAGCGACCTGCTTAAGCGATTTGACCAGGCTCTGTGGACAATCATACGAGCATTACGCCGAGAGAGAGAGAGAGAGAGAGAGAGAGAGAGAGAGAGAGAGAGAGAGAGAGAGAGAGAGAGAGAGAGAGAGAGAGAGAGAGAGAGAGACGACATCCTCCCCGCCGAATATTACGGAACAAGCATCTTACGGAATGGTCTTACGGAACAATTATCCACATTCCATTCCACACCCCCTTTTCAGCCCTGACGGTTGGCAGCATGCGTACATGGGAAAGTCGAACATGTGAAATATATTTTATAGATTTGAGATGACACTAAACACACAGATCGGAGTATCGTTCAGAAGCCGTTCTCTCAGCCTCCATCTGGAGATGTGCGGGTTCAATGAATGCTCCTGCGCCAGGGCAGTCTGTTGACGCTGACGGGTTACGTTTCCAATGGCCGTGGCGGCGCTCCGTTGAGGCGAGCAAAGCCAACAGAGCGGCGTGCCGCGCGCCTGCCGCGGCTGACGAGCGAGCTGGAGCGGCGCCATGGGCGGAGTGCACTGACACGTACCACACTCGGGCTGACATGAGGGACGTCTAGAGAGTCAGAGAGACAGAGCTGAGGTTCTTCTTTAGAAACGGTGGCAATGAAGGGCAGAGATTGAGCCCTTAACCAGTCTCCCGGGGCTATGTTGTACCCGAAGTCCCGGCCGATACGGTTAACCTTCGTCCCGCTGGGTCTTCATCAAAACATCGCCGAGTGCATCGGGCACCAGCCGTCAGTTTGGTTTGTGCAGATCAGACAAAATATCATCTGACCTCTCAGAACCAAGTGTCGGGTATTTCTGACGGCCAGGAAAACGAACATCTCTCATATGTTCTCAGCATTCTCCGACGAGGTCTATTGGTCGACTAATTCGTCGATTAATTCATCAAATTATGTACCTAATGGTCTCAGTTGCCTAAAGTTAGATAACTCAATTCCAACAGTTTCCTTTTCGACAAAGGATACAAAGGTGGTAGGTACGTAACCTTCACGTTCTGTAGGTGGGAGGCGCCGGACGGCCTATTTGTTTACACCCCACTGTGAGCTGTCCCAAACACCAGCCAAGGAGCAATGCAGGAACGCACAGGGCAAGCGTGATGCCCTCACAATGGCCGTGCGCTCCTTCGCCATTTGATATCCAGCATTATCAACTCAGCATCATCCTATGAGGAACAGTGTTCACTGCTCATCACATGACCGACTGACAGCCTTTGCCCCGAGCGTGAGGTATTTGTTTTACTGAGGCCGTCGGGATGACATTGGCCGGAGGGCAACAGTAGCTAATCCAGGGGCCATTTCAAAGTTCGCTGAGGGCTACTCTCTCAAGGCATTTCACATTTGTCAGTTTGTCAGCTTGCTTACGTGGCAATGGTTAGTGTCGGTTATACACTTATTCTTAGTAGGTAGTAGTCATATAAACAAATCAAGCTATTAAACATATTTCATATGCCATACAGTCAAATCGGTATCTTGGGTGAAATGAAGATGACAGAAAATACAAAGAACGGTGCAATTAATCAAGTAAATTACTAAAGTCGTTTCCCGTCAATCGTCATAAAAAGTTCGGTACGTAAAGCAATCTTACATCCTTATTTTGCACATTATTGCAACTGTTATGCTAACTTCACTAATGTCATAATGGATACTTAACGTGGGGCCATTTTGCGCATAATCAAACATCAGTTGTTGTTATTGAAGCACATCGTTGACAATTTTGTAGCTAGTTATGATTTATGATATTTCGAATGCGTTCATTTCCTTTATATCGTTTTCATTGCCGATTTGCACGTTGGGCAATATTTTCGAATGAAGAGAAATCCGATAGAACCTTTAATAGAATAGGCACTGTTTTTGAAAGCAGCTTGAGATCATTTTAAGAAAGTCCCGGCGTCAGTGCCGGACCTTAGCTCCAAATTAGCCAACGTATGTTTGTTTTCTCAACAAGCGCATTGATGTTTAAAAACTCAAACAGCTGTGTCGGTAGGCCAACTATCAAAGGGCAGACAAACGACGTCTCAACGAGACCGTGTGGGTAACGGGCACCACCGTCGCGAAACAGCTCTACGTGATGACATCATGTGCCAATGGTATAACCAACCAGTGTCGGTGCCCTTTCTTCAAGCTATGAGATTTATTGCCAATAGGCATCTGAGTAACGAACTTTTTTTAGCAGCCGAAGGAATAGCCAACAGCTACATAGGTATATTTTAGAATCCCCTTATACGTCTTTTCATTGACTTCCAAAGTCCGTTCAGTTTAAAACGTTCGACGCTCAAAATGTTTTTAACATTCCACATTGAATTCTGATTGCATAATGCATTGCAATCTGGCCAGTACTAAGTCGGCGGTTTCTTGTGTCGGCTTCATGACGCTACACACCACGAATCTATATATGGCCGAGACGCATGGAAGGACGATGAATGATAATTAGACAATGCAACTTCGAAGTGCCGCAAAGTCCATAAAGTACCTAAGGGACGCAAAAACCTTTCCGACTTTCTCATGCACTCTTCAAGAGATGTTGTTACATTCTTGCAGGATTCGTCTCAATGTTCATGCATTTTTAAAAAGAAATGTCGATTTGCATTTCTACTGTTCAACGAAAAATGACCTGAGACAAATGCACTATGACTGACCTGGCACGGGGAACCAGCAGCGGTATTCGCCGAAGCCGGGCCGCAGGTAGATCTCGGTGGGCACCAGACGCTCGGGCGCGTACTGCATGAGTACGGTGACGGCCGTCAGCGCCAGGGGGCTCAGCCAGCTGTAGACCGAGTAGCGGATAAAGCGGCGTGTGCCGCTGCCGCCCGTCGTCGGCGCGTGCACTCGGCTGGGAACGGACAGGGGGGGGGGGGATTAGGCACGCATCCCTGGCGACGACCGTGAGAAGATCGAACTTCTTCATCCATGATCAAACTGTTGGTGTGTGTCAATGCAAGTTTGGTTCTAAGCTTACTGCGGAGCTTAGCAATATTCAAGGCATTCGAATTTAATCTTCGATTTTTACCTCAATATCACATCACCGTTGCTAACATACAGAGCTCAGCAATCCTGCATCGGTAGATATATCAGTGACCGTCCTTGGTAAGTAGACATATGGTTCATATTCACGGGCGACCGGTCCCGGTTCGTTTTCCATTCTGTCGGAGCTTCAGCGTGTACCAGCAACGAATTTGCGCTTGGTTACGGCAATAGAAGACAAGTGAAGACTTATTGTATGCAAGCAACATTCCGTTTCGTTACTACAATTCAGCCAGTTCGCTAAGTTTGGGTCTAAAGTATATGTAGCTAGTCCGCACATAATTCGGCAAGGGAAGCGCGCTACCGACCGTCTCACTTTCTAATTTATTTTGTAATACTCCATGAAACGGGACCATATCACGTTTTACACTCAATCTCCCCTAATTGCACCCATATCCTTCTGAGTTTCATGAATGTTGGATGGGTTTGGTCGAAGGCAGCAATTGGACCCAGCAGCGACTGGCAAACGGCTGCAACAGTCGCGAAAGCGATGTCGGTCGGGTCCTTTGTTTGAACAGGCCTGCTGGCGGGCCCGATGGGACCCTGCGCCGCCCGCAGAGTTAGGCTCGACGTCAGCGGGCAATCGTGACGTCATGCGTGTAGTAGTGACGTCACGAGATGAACAACCGTGACGCTACATTCCCTAAGAAAGTAAGCGATTGAGGATCAAGCTTTGGACTATTGCGACCTTGTCCTTAGTACAACCGTAAGGCGATGTTAGTTTTTTGCGCATCGTAACGATGTGACTTAGATCGATTTTCAAAACTACATCACGCGATGCACCCATCTGGTCACTAGCCACTACTGCTTGGCAATGCAACTTTCACTAGGCTGTACGCATTACAAACCAATCTGCTGAATTTTAACTCGCCAGAAACAGCTCACGTCTCAATCAGCGGGGTCCATCGGGTATGTATCGGACAATCGGCAGGCGGCATGGAAACGATTTAAATAAGTGAATTCGGTTTGGAATCAGATAGGTTTATGTGGCTTAGTAGTACTCGCAGTCACCACAGGAGACGGCGGCATCCTCATTCCTACTCAACCCTCGCTAATCTGATCTCTTGGTTCTTCGGAACTAACTTGTGTTTACGCATGGAATTGGCTCTTTCCAATGCCTTCTCTAAAACGTTTACCTATAGGTAAACGTCATGACTTATGGGTATACCCATGAAATGAAGATATACATTTCATGATATTCATTTCAAGATATTCATTTCATCTGTATTTGTAGATGGATCAATAGACTCAGCTATACTTAGATCTAAGTCTCGGTCTTCAAACTCAGTCTTGCTGAAATTTTTTGGAGACGTTATAAAACCTACGGCAGTAGGGTAGAGTGGGGCAAAGCGCCCAGGGCGGGTAAAACGCCCACCCCTCTTATTTGTGAAATGCTCGACTTTTCAAAGAATCCTTGATAGCCACCTTCAAGAACACGCAGGAATCTGCTTGTGCTTCCTTTTTCGGTTCCACAAGTGGGGTTTTCTGGACATAAAATACAGATTGGTATATTTCTGATCTTTTCTAGGAATTAAAGCTTTCTTAGTGCTAAAACTTTGTCTGATAGAGATTGAAGATGGCAATAAAATTTTGTTATGTTGAATCTGCAGATTTACGCTATGCTTTGAGCATTTATTTGCTTGCAACACAATTGTGACAGGCTTAATTTTGACAAATTTTGTTTTGAATGTGCTGTTGGGGTAATACGTCCACTTCGGTGTGGGGCAAAGCGCCCATCATGGGCCAATGGGAGTTCTACAGCACGGGCTATTGCGAGCATTTTTGGCTCAAAGTGAGTGGCGGGATATGTTTCTAATGCTCAGGATTCTTATAAAATATGCAATTTCTGGTTAGGATCGTCTAGAACGATTCATTCGCGAGATCTGATCTTTGATCACCAGGGCAGTGACAGGCGTTGACTGAATAAGGACTGGGGTGGCGATAGCAGTGTTTAAGGTGTTTTTAATAATGCAATCTGTCGAGTACAAGTTTAACGAAATGAGGAATGGATGAATGCTACATTATTTTGTCAGAGCATTCAAATTGTGATGAACCATTCAGGACTGGGCGTTATGCCCCACTCATATGGGCGTTATGCCCCACGGGAGGGACAAAACGCCCGATCTGTAGTCCTCTCAAATTGGACGGCATATCTAAAAAACTGTGCATGCCACACGTTTCTGATGTGTTATTCGAAGAAAGCTAAGGTAATGAGCTACCATATCAGCTACCTGGTTGTTCTTCAAATTTGTAAGATAAGGAGATACTGAGGCTGAAAAGTTAGGGTGAGCGCTTTGCCCCACCCTACCCTACTTGCATATGGATCAAAGAGTAGTGCATCAAACAAGAAGTTAAACGTTTCTTTCGCATGAAAAGCACTGAACCCCGAAATTACGTTTTAGGTTGGTGCCACCCCGGCTCACTTTGGTCTTTGCAGGGTCTTTGAATTTGATTGCAGGGGCATCAACTGAGAATGTTGGTTTGCGATGCTCCTTCTCACAGGTCAGCCAATGAGTCATGAAGGTTATATCCCGCCGTCTATACATAAACCCGATTTGATGACCTGTGACAGCCGACAGGTGAAATCCGGCGCAGCTGCTGCCGACCCTCACTGACACGTCTGCACAGCTGCCTGCGGCCAAACATTGGCCAGCTCGCGGCGCAACGAGCGTGTAAATCTCCCCTCTGACCCTCTCCCCGGCCACACCTCCCGGCTCCCCAGCCGCTACCACACAGTCGGCCAGCGTCGCGTAAACACGGCCCCGACGCGCGTACACGTCAGTCTGCAGTATCCGGAGGTGGTGGTAGGCGGTGAAATCGAATGTACTGGGAGCCGAACGCCGTGCGTGCATACGCCATACAGTTCCGTTGCTGCTACATATACTTCTTACCAGCAATTGGTGCATGAGTCATGAGTCGACTGACTTTTTATACTCGCTGGAACTGATCCCATGCTGATTTGGGCTAGACTGAGCTGCGATTAGTCTGATGCGCAGCATTGCAACAAAACGTCCACCGCCAAATCTGTTTTGAATCAATGGTTATGTCACTTATGTGTATATTGAGCGGCACTTTACTATGATCATATTCGCTTGATTCGATAAACACTGCATTCCATTTCATTACAATTGGGTAATGGATAGGTTTGGTCAAACGCTGAATGTCACGTTTGCGGCTAGTTTGGTGTGCGTTGCGGGCGAAGTGAATCACGATTTTTCGTTGCGCGTTGGAATGAATACGGTTTATTTGGTGAGCATATCGCCCGTACGGAAATCTGTTACGTTGATGTATCACTGACGCGCTGCCACGCGGGAGTACCGATCTGCCGGTGCCATGGATGTTTTGTGCGCCGACGAGCCGTGTAAGCGCTGCACTGATGCACCGATCTGGCGGCGCCAGCAGGCCGTACCAAACAACGAGCCTCGCGCCTGACTCACGGCCTCTGGGGAGCGTCAGTGGCGCAGTGTACGATACAACTGGAGCCCGGTGGTGTGGTATATGTAAGAATTCACTGCCCAACATTGAACGGTGTCGGTTGAGGGTTAGCATGTTAGGTACTTTTACGCATAAATTACTACTAACATACATTTCGAGTCATCGTGTGCTATTTGTCTTTGGGAAATGATAAGGTAATCTTTTGGTAAATCCTTACGACAAACTGAGAAAGGCTCAGGTGGAATCATAGTGGTTATACTTGGCCGGCCGGTTATTATGGCCGGTCGGGTTTGGATCGCCGTGTTAGCAATCACTTTCCAGCATTTGGCTTAAGCTGCATGGTGTGCCAACATTCAACGGAGATTACATGCCTAGCGGAAGTTAAAATATGTTTACTTCGGCTTTGACACCGTCATCATTCATGGTTGCAGAGTCGGGACTGTCATTGCAGCATAAACATCTTATAGATTATGAATGTTATATTGTATAGACGCCGCAATGGGCCTGTTGGAATGTTCATAAAAACGTCCAGCTTGTTCAAAACACTAAGCTAACTTACCGATACCTATTTGATGTGAATAGAATGAATAGCCTTTACGTATACCCTTATGCTTATATCATGTTCCCTTAATAATCCTTATGCTTATGTTATATGTTGCAAAATGGATGTTGTTAAAACTAAATTCAGTTTTAATTATATCAATTTTGCAACATATAACATGAACAAAATGTTATTCATTCTATTTACCTACATTGTTAAGCATGCTCAGAAATACCATAGCTTATCTCCAATAAATTACTTATTCGACTTGTTCTTTGAAATTCATCTGTTATTAAACATCTTGCATTGAAAGCTCGACGGTAACAATACCCATTCACGGTTTAAAATATCCTCAACAACTACCGCCCAGTTTCTGTTGTCAGAGCATGGTAGTTACGGCTGGATTGTGTCACGCACTCCAAAGGCCCAGACGTAAGATCCGTCACAGCCGTCCATGAAGTGTCCACGGCAGTAAATTAAAGTGAGTGTGACCTGTCACACGAGTGTCACATTGGAACATCTCCGGCTGACCGAGCTGTCCTGGTGTCTCTTCGAAATGTCATTCAGCTTCCCATTCCGGTCTCCCACCGCGGTGTTTGTTTTTAGAGGGTGACAGTGAGTCTGCGCAGGGCACGAGCGACACCCCTCCCCTCCCCCTAATACCGGGCCGGGCCGCGTGCTGCGTGCCCGCGACCTCTCCATGTATCATCAAATTACACGTCCATTGCCAGCCTTCATTTCATTAGTTCCTCAGCCGCGCCGAGCGAAGCTGCCCAGCTACAGTGCTTAGTTTGAAATTGGATCGTCCGAACTTGAGGAGTGCCATGTATCGTCTGAGTGCACGGGTCAGGAACTTGTGATCAATGGTCCGGTGAATGGTGCCAGAAGCCGACGTCAGAGCGGTCAATTAAAGCCCGCCAGGCCGGCACCTCGCGCCCACCCCAGTCCCCACTAATTGGGTAAACCGACAGTGGCTGCTCGGGTCACGGGTGTGTTGCGTTCGTGACCGAGCAAAGGTGACTCCGTGACCATTCCGTGAGGCGGCGGCGTTGGCGGCGAAAAGAAATGATACCGTGAGTGGATGAGCAGCGGCGCGGTGCCATTTTCCTAATAAAGGAATGAGCTATAGGCACAGGGAATGCGATTTAGACGAAGCTAAGCTGCTTACTTGCTGTGTTACTGCTGATGCGGTATTTCACTTCATATGGTCCTTGTAAGACTTACCTAGATATTAGTATGAGCCGGGTATTCGCGACCCCCGCTAATGAAATGAGGGGCGAACTATTTACAAAGAGTGAAATAATTGATACAGAACACTCCCACCGTGCATAAACATCTATATAATAATGATAAAGCTATCCACGTTAGGCCAGCAAGGGAAATTCAACTTTGTTTATCGATTCCTCGAAGGACGACATATTAACACTTTTGAGTTCAACATTTGCATTTCATTACACTAACCCCAAACATTCGCCCGTTTACCATAGCTCATTTGGGTCGCAATGCTAGTCTCTGGCAAACACCACACAACCATTCCGCATCTATTGGTGTGAATCCACCAGCAAATGAATGCAGCGGTCGCCAAGATGGCGCCCGGGGTCAGTCTGGCGGTCACCAAAAACCAATCGCAGTCGGCGCGATTAGTGTACCCCGGGGCGGCCGGGGGAGGGGGAGAAGGGTGCAAATACCCCTCGGGCGTACAGCAACGAGCAGGGATTGTACGATTGTTCGGGGCACGGGAGATTGGCACGGCCTACGGAATGCTGATAAGGGGATGGTTGGGATGAGTGGAGATGTTGGGTGCAGTGTTTACTGCTGAGTATGTAAAGCAGCTATCAAGATCAACTAGGCAGAGATGTTTTGAATTGGGAGAGAGAGAGAGAGAGAGAGAGAGAGAGAGAGAGAGAGAGAGAGAGAGAGAGAGAGAGAGAGAGAGAGAGACGTACCGCTTAACTTAAATACCTACCTACACATCAGTACCCTCTGTTAATGGACCTCCCGCAGTGTTTTATCGAGCTCGCCGCAACGCACATCAAGCTTCAAAAGCAGTGCACTTTCATGACAAATATTTCTTAGACGTACCAAACTGATGGAGTTCGCCTAAACAAAGCGTCAGCGTGTTTCCAACAGCGCTGGCTAACAGATAGTGAAGCGGGTGGCCCAAGCCCCCTCTCTTTTTCGGCCCAGTACATACCGGGTGATCATTTGGGAATGAGATAAAGTAAGTGGCACGTGCAGATGTGTATTCAATAGCACACCAGACAAAAGACACGTCATTAGACTCGTCATCGTGGGACATTTTGTACTGCACACTATTATACACCTGCAAGCCACTGTTCATCTACAGCAGGTGCTCAAAGTGGCCACCCCCTTCTGAGCGGCACAGCTCAGCCCGACGGCGTGTGTGACGCGCCATCTTTCGCAGCTGCTCTTCGTCCATGTTGCGGGCGAAGTCCTCAACCAGTTCCTTCAGCTGTTCCAGCGTTTGGGGCTCGCTGCGCACGATCTGAGCCGTCACCAATGACCAGAAACAAAAGTCCAGACAAGACAGGTCGGGACTGTACGGCGGCCATCGGTGTTCACTGTTCCGGGAGATGACGCGGATGGCCAGGATGGACTCCTGAGAATTCTGGCTAACCCATGATGAGGAGTGGTTTGAGCGTGTACTCTGGAGTGACGAAAAGTGGTTTGTTCTGCATCCGTCTCCAAACAAGAAGAACACCGTGTGCTGGTCGCCAGAGAATCCGAACAAGCTCGTGCCATGCAAGAAGGCCCAGGGGTAGAAGGTGATGGCGTGGGTGGGCGTGGTGGATGGGAAGTGCCTGCCAGTTCACTGGTTCACTGGCTCCGTCAACAGCGACGCCTACCTGGAGATGCTGCAGACGGTGGTGTGGCCTGCGATGAAGGCTCGGGCGACGCGCCACCAGTACTGGTTCCAGCAGGACGGCGCGCCGCCGCACGTCACTGCTCCCGTGATGGACTTCCTCCACTCGAAGTTCGGCGGCCGCGTCATCTCCCGGAACAGTGAACACCGATGGCCGCCGTACAGTCCCGACCTGTCTTGTCTGGACTTTTGTTTCTGGTCATTGGTGACGGCTCAGATCGTGCGCAGCGAGCCCCAAACGCTGGAACAGCTGAAGGAACTGGTTGAGGACTTCGCCCGCAACATGGACGAAGAGCAGCTGCGAAAGATGGCGCGTCACACACGCCGTCGGGCTGAGCTGTGCCGCTCAGAAGGGGGTGGCCACTTTGAGCACCTGCTGTAGATGAACAGTGGCTTGCAGGTGTATAATAGTGTGCAGTACAAAATGTCCCACGATGACGAGTCTAATGACGTGTCTTTTGTCTGGTGTGCTATTGAATACACATCTGCACGTGCCACTTACTTTATCTCATTCCCAAATGATCACCCGGTACATGCTTGACAAAAGCGATAGGTATGTTCGAATCGTGGCAGATTCAAGATTCAGGCTTGAATATATTTATAATGCCAATATAACGTACATTCGGTCTGACAGCAGCCTTTCAGTCTACTTTCTTGTTATATGTCCAGATGAAAAACCTGGAAGCACGGCATTTATGTTCCAGATGCCGTTGTTGTGTTGTTTTCCACCATTCGTAGCCAGTGCTAGAAGGCAGGATAGCACCAATTGCGACAAATTTACCTACCTGATAATCACCCGCCCAAAAATTTAAGCTGCTTCACTAAAACCCTCCACTTTATAAAAGTGATGGTGTGTATTAGGTTTGTTTTGCCCCTGAAGGGCATACTCGGCATTTTTCCACACCGGCGACTTTTCGTCTTTTTGTCCACTATAATCGATCCCTGGGAGGAGGGGTGCCGTTTCTGAACCGGGTCGACCAACCTCCCGAGCTCTAAGGTCTGAGGGCCATCTGTCCGTCTGGCTGCCCGCTACTGACGGTGGGGGCGGGGGCAGCGGGGGCGGGGGCGGGGGCGGCACCTGGAGAGGCGGCCGTTCACAGTTTACCGCCGTGCCCGCCGCCGCCGCCATCCGCCGGTACCGCTGGCAGCCCAGCGGACCATAAACCGGGGGCGCTGCTCAGAGCCGGTCGGGTCGGCTCTGGCCCGCCGCAGACCGCAGACGAGCCGTCTGATGTGGTGAGGAGAGTTTGGTAGGAGCCAGGAGGAATGTATCGGTGTCGGATCTTCTAACCAGACATGTGCGTGGATATGAGAAAACAGATCTGGGATCTGATCCCACGGATCCTGATCTCGGATCCGTCGGGATTATACATCCAGTTCTTCAATTTATCGAGGGATTTGTATGGATCGTAGATCCGAGTCTTATTTATTATTAGAGATCCGGTTAGATCATAAGACCTCATTTACTTTTTGTCAGCTCAGAAATCCCAGAAAATCACTCGTTGCAACTCACAAACGTTCTGTTTTAGAGATTGGATATGTTTGCAAGTCATAATCCATAGTTTTGTGGCACTTATTGACATAGAAACACTTGAAACCTGGTTTCAAATGTTGTGCATGGTGGGATCCACTCAGCATAGATCCATATTCCATGTTCTTGGTTTATCGTCAGATCCTATGAGATCATAGATTCAGATTAAATTTTTCACGCCGAATCCGGTGGAATCCTACTACCTGCAGTTTACTTCGAGATCCACTGAGATCATAGATCCATCACTCGGATCCATACACATGTCTGCTTCTAACATTAGCAATGGAAATTGAAAACATCTGTCGTCTTTGAAAATAAACTGCATTTTGGGTAATCCAGAGAACTTACCGCCAACTGATATGACAAAATGCAACAAAACTCGAAACGCGGTGTTAATTATAGAACTTTGTGATCGAATCGGTAGGTTCCCCAATACTTTGTAAATCTTTTAGAGAATGGAAGCAGTTGTAAACAGATATAATTTCAGACAACTCTTTAATTAGTAGAATTTCAATTTTTGTTAATTCATTCGACCGAAGCCGATACAAAAACTGGATAGGATGGACCTACTCTTTTAAAAAGTTAACTGAGCGTTGATACCATTGTCTTTTTTTTTTTGCTAAATCAATAGCATATTTCGTAACGTTCCCCAATTCAGATCCAGTTAAACTATTTCAGATCAGGGCGTTTTGGATCGGTGTGTTCCGGTGCTGGAGGAGCCTATAAGTGCTAATAAAATTAATGAGGTCGGGGATCACGATAGGGTGTCCGGTTCCGGTCCGTGTTTAACTAGCAGCGTGATCTGACCTGGCGTGATATGTAGGCCTCCAGAGCCCAGACGTCGACCAGTGTATTTCAGCGGCGTTTCGGCACACAAAGATATCGTGCAAGGGTTACCTTCCAGTCTGAGCTTCTCGCCAATAGATTGCGCGAATCCGTTAATAATTGATGAAAGCAAGACGAATGTGCACGTTTCTGTTCGTAAGTAATCCTCTTAAGAAACTGCATTTACCTACTACGACAGCAGGTTATCTAGCAATCATCTGAAAATGAGCCCCTTGCGTGCATAAAAGACGAGGAACAGTAATAGAAGACCTACTTAGACTTATGGGCTTTACACCCTAGGGCCATTTCGCCTATCGTAACATGCAGATTGGAATGTTCTCGCGGTCTTGACGGTAATTGAAGGTCATGCTCCGTATCGATAAGAGGGTAAGAGTACATTACATTAACGATCGGAGATCATTTTCGAAAAGTGCTCCAGTGACTTGTGTCCGGGTGGTAATTTTGATCTACCTACCTTTTTGTAGGTAGGCACCTTTTCAGTATTTTTTGACAGGCTGACATTGGAAGGCGGATGTTCAACCATTGAGCGATTATTTATAACACAATGCCACTGTCGAGTGTCGAAGCTGCGCCACAAACGCATGCGACTTAAAACCTATTACCTAACGATGGGGAGCAATAAATACAGGTTTTAGGTACTGACCTGAACGTTCTCCATATGTCGAAGCTCATCGTATTCAGCCAGAAGCAGACCGCCAGAAACGAGTAGTACATGATAATTGCTGTAAGAAAAGGTGAATACGCATTACAAACGTTACCATCGAGTCTTAGAGACTTCCCACTAAATAAGGTTGATTGGTTGAGTTTCACTTGCAAGTACCTAGCCTATAACACGTCTCGCTGAATTACTTTGCGACCAGACAGGTAGTTTTATGAATTTATCGTTGACAGGATACCAAACAATTCAATATTCTTTAGCCTGTCCCATATCCTGTCCCATGTCCATCTCACGGGCCTATCTATGCTTCGACCCTTCCTAACTAATAGGTCTAGGTGCCCTGTGATTAGTTCCCTTCCGTCCTGACCGGGTGACCCGACCTGTCCCGCTCACCTATGGCCTGACAGAATGGCAGACTCCGGTAGACGAACGCCGTCTGTGAGGCGATGCGGCAGACGTAGGCTGTGAACAGCGCAGCCACGTGCGACATCAGGCAGCGGCCGTGCACGTTTCGCAGCTCCGGGATGGCGGCGTAAATGGCGAACGTGACGAGCAGCAGCGCAGCGGAGACGATCAGCAGCGCCTCCATGACGTAGTGGCGCGGCGCCACGGCCGGCGGACTGCCGCCGAAACACAGGATCGCGAACGCGTGGAACTGCTCAGAGCCGTTCAGTGAGTAGAGCATCTGGTCGACGCAGAAGTGTGGCAAGTTGGTCATCTTCTGCTGGCCGGGAACCCAGAGCGAGCCGTTGGTCTGCAGGTAGAACCGGTCAAGGGCGCGGAACACGGGCTGTAGCGGAAACACGCGCCCGTACTGACCGTCCTCCGAGGGCGGGCACCTGGCGTTACCCCAGATAGTGCGGTAGCTCCCGCTGCCCGCCCGGTGGGTGAGGGACCTGTAGAAGCTGGGCCGCCAGGTATTGTTAGCAGGCAGCGGCAGACATCGCTGGTACCGGTCCATGTACAGGCCGCGCGGGCAGCACTTGCGGAAGCAGGTCTCGCGCCGACAGGTGGGCTCCAGCAGCGTCTCGTCCACCAGCGAGCTCAGCTGGTGCATACTGACGTTACAGACGATGGCACCGTCGATAGCGACCCCCTCAGCGTCCGTCAGGTTGTGCGGCTCGATCAGCCGGCCGGCGCAGAACTGCTGGGCCGGCTGGAGGACGTCCACCTCCGACCGGTACAGCTCCCCGGTGGTCAGCAGCTCGAACCGCTGCTCGGGCCGCCCGCCGTCCAGCCAGAACGAACCCTCGGTGCAGGTGAGGTTACCCGTCTGCAGCACGGTTAGCCGCGAGTCCGGAGGCCCGCGGCTCCCCGCCCTAGCGTTCAGGAGCTGCGGCCGCCAGCGCAGCGTCTCACCCACCGGCTGACAGGACGGCAGCTCCGCCGGATCCGACGACCGGACCAGCGCCTCGTCCTCCGCGCAGCAGCGTAGGATTCGGGCGGCCTGCTGCCTCCAGCGCGGCTCCGGCAGGTCATCGGCCAAAGGCCGGCGCGGCGGCACCGACTGACCCGAGACTACCAAAGGAGCGGCGGCCAGCACGACCAGAAACAGCAGGCCGGCTCGCCATGTTAGATTACGGTAGGTCATGGCGCTCCGGCCTTCACAGGACAGGACTTCAACTAGGCCTTCCAAGTCACCTCAGAGTAAGCTACCCACATGTTCTGACCTGACTTGACCGGTCACTGTTCATCTTTCGTCCAACGAGGCGTGCTCCAATACTACACAAGGCCGACGACTCCAAAGGATTATAGATTAAAGCACAGGTTCTCGATTTCACCACCCCTCACACTCCTAACAGGTATATCACTGCACGCGCCTGCACCGTCCCACGCCGTCCTCCGGACGCACAGTTTCGCAACGACCCTCCTCACTGCAGCGGGGCCGAGCGCCGTCTGCCGGGGCTCGCCATGGAGCCCTGGTCCAGTGCGAGGGTCGCCCCCCGGACCCCAGCGCACCGCTCCGCCATCTGACGGTAGCGACGGCAAACAGCTGAGGTAGCGTAGCGACGGTGGGCGCGTCGGCGCACGACGCACGCTTGAACGCCCCCCCCCCCTCCCTGCAGCGTCGGATTGGAAGGCGAAGGGCAGCCGTGCGAAGGGAGGACACAAAAAACGGTACCAGGGGAGTCTGATAAAAAGCGCTGGGGAGTTCGTGCTGCCTTGTGTGATCAGAGGAGACGCACCACAAATGTCCCTGTTTCAAAAGGTGTAAATGGCTGGAGCCGTGGGCCCTGTGATATTCTCGGGGCAAAAAAGATCTAGTCGAGCAATAGTTTCTTGGTCTGTCGTCTTACCTGAGCTGAGCTTATCAGTTATCATGGACAGTCAAAGTATTTAAAGTAACAATTTGAATGCTTATTTCAGTTGTCAGTTTGTAATAGATTCATAAGCTTTGTCCGTAGTTTCTTAAAGATTTTTTCATACAATTTCATTGATGCCCAACGATAGTCGCTGAAGGCCGACTGACGACTAGTTAATGACATGGCAAGCATATTTCGTCTCATCACATAATGATAGCGTGTATCGTTTACGCTCGTATCTTTATTCGCTTCATCGCTGAGTTTAAACGATATGCGATGTACGTTACGCGGGATAAACACACAATCAGCCGCTTTATGGCTCCAAGGCAAGGCTAGGCCCCTGCACCTGTGATGTACCGCAAGCGATGATGCAAACTTCTGTCGCTAGATGGCACCAGTGACTGGCGCCTGTAGCTATGCTGTGCCGCATGGCCTTATACGACATACGTGTCCCCGAGCAGTGGTGACATGACGAGCATACGGCAGAACTTGTCCCATTGCCTAGCTAACAGTTTGGGTCATGTGCATCGAGCATTGCATGCTTTATACGATTAAAAAAGAAGAAGAAGCGGAAAGATGCTTAGAAAAGTGAAGCATGGCTTTCGGATCTACGCTCGCCATTCGTCATAAAAGGTCCGTTTTGCAAAACAATGAATGCATCATTTATTACGACAAATCACCTCATTATGTCATGTCACAACCCCACGACGTCCCAGCACCCTCAAAAAGCTGCTGGCACTTGTCTTCAGCTTACCCCGAACCAAACTAGCCAACATAATATAAACAAACATCCATAACAAAATAGCATTTGCCTTATAGCTGACCTCAGCATAGTCCGTACCGGGGCTGAACACCGAACCGATACCCTCTATGCGTCGGTCCTTTTCACAGTGTGTGCCTATCCTGGTCCAGTGGCGCTGATAGCCAGCCCGAACGGTGGACGGAGATTGTGCCCAGCGGCCCGAGGGTCATACTGCGACATTCGGCCCAGATCACTGATGGCACGTGCCGGGCGGCACAGGCCGGGACGGGAGCGTGGGCAGAACCGTGTCGAAACGCAACAATGATGACGTGGTACGAGCGCCGCCGCTACGATTTGACAAACTTGAATCCCTTCTTCGCCAGGTCCTCCTTGGCTTCTTTGATTTGCTGCAACGAAGGAATTCGATTCATAGCGTCATGTCCATACAGTAAAGAAAAAATGTGTGACCATCGCCGGGCTCAAAAGCCATGATTTTTTACCGCGAGCATAGTGTTCTCGTTGCCGTAACCATTTGAATTTGACAACTACGAAGTCGCCTTTATAATAATCTTTTTATAATAGGATGTTCACATTCCTGTTCAATGATCCCGTTTCCCGATTCTCCCATCCGTTAAGATTAAGATTTACGCGTAAATTCATCGCAATATCAGTGGTATTCGATAATATCGGCTGGATTAGCGGTGCCAAAACGAGCTCGTTATGTAACCGTGACAGATTTGTTGTCGACTACCGTCATTCCAAAATTAGCGGCATGACTCAAATGATAAAAAACGTCTCGCACTCTCAACGAGTGACTGAGAGAGAGTCAATAAGTAAACGAGAGTGATAGAGTAACTGAGATCCAGTAAAAGTGTGAGTGAGCGAGTGAGCTGTGACAGGAATGAGTAAGGGTGAGTGAGGTTTGCGAGCCCTTCTGTTTGTAGCTCAGTGAAAGGCGCCGCTTATTTAAACCTGCTTTTATGAAGCTGGTCAACATCAGATGATTTACATATGTAAGATGCAAAACATGATTTCGTAGGTGCCTGAAGGCTAACTTACCAAGGCATAAAAAGTAGGTACTAGGTAGGTCTCGGAAATCAAGACGCAAAACCAATTTGTGATAATGTATTGAATGCATATCCATGTGTCAACAAGCATGCAAATGTACTTTTTGCATATCACCTCACATCTATTATACATCAAGCTTTTGCAGTTCTAATCTAATGCCACTGCAAATCTGATATAATCATGCTTTATAAGCTATCACACATTAAGTACAGCCACGTGCCTGATCATTCAACTGAGCGGGTGTGCGGACGGGGCCTAGCCCGAGGTCTCCGCAGTGGCAGACAGACTAAAGCAGCCGGGGCGGTCTCTGTCCGATACTAAGCCACGGTAATGACTAGGTGCAATATGATTTGTCTGCTATGCCAGACAATGTGATGAGAAGCATATACTACGTGGACTGTCTATGGTAAACTATAGTGAACAGTCTTCGGTTGCCACATAAGGCACATACATAGTTATTTTAAGGAAATTACATCGATAATGTGAGAGAAAAAAACTAAAGACAAAGGTTTCGTTAAAACCGATTTTCAAATGTTTAAAGTCGCGAAAATGTTGAATAACATTGATAAAACACGGGCAATTAAAAGCAGGTACAAACATCAGCGAAAAAGTTAATAAAACACCACACAATATCATATGGCATTAGATGCCATCTTCTCAGCATCATATTCCAAGCAGCCTTATATCAAGTGAAACAAATGCCATCTTATGCTTGCTTAATGCTTAAGCCATCTATCTGTAAATAAACGTCACATACCTCGTAGTGTCAGCAAACCATATACACTTATTGTTATTACCACCCAGTGCGGTTGCAGTTGCTGACAAGGGCGCTTCAAGACCAACCTAGCAACCCAACGAAGATATGTTTACAGAAGAGCAATGCTTGAATGTCGTGGAGTAGCGTTTGAATGTCGTGGATGAATCTCTCCAGTCCAATGTAACCAGGTCTGGCACCATCAGAGTGTAGGGTCGCACGATACCCTATAGCCGCTTTCAGTGCCACCCGGTTCAAAGCCGTCTCGGTCGGTAGTTGCGCCGCTCTCTGTACGGCAGACCCCTGGCCTTCCGCGGGTCCACCATCTCCGGCAGAAGGCACTCCAGGAAAAACTCGCGCACCGGGCCGATCTTCTGCTGCCAGAAGTCCGGGTCGAACGCAATCCGGTCGCATTCCGACTCGTGTGGCGTCCAGACAAAGAAGTCACAGAAGCGGGCGCCGCAGCACGCCATCTGCGCCTGCACCTGGCCGTAGTACGGGTGGCCGCGGCGCAGTTTCATCGCTCGGTCCAGACAGAAGCTGCCGCCGGCCGCGGCCAGCTCCCTCAGCGGGGTGTTGGCAGCGCGCTGCGGACACTTGACCTCCAGGATCAGCCCGGGGGCCACCCAGCCGTCCGGCGTGGCCGCCAGAAACCCGTGCTCCGGGTGCACCACCAGACCGACCGGGTGACGCACCAGCACGCCCGTGCGCCGCTCGTACTCGCGAATGGCTCGATCCTCGTTCTGGCGTCCGTACTGGAGCGCGGGCGTGTCCAGCTCCCGGCCGGCGCCGTACAGAAGAACCTCCAGTAGGGAGTCGCACGGCGTGGTCGGACGCATGTTACTGACGCGCTGGAACACGCTGGCAGTAATGCGGCCGCGCCGCGCCGCGAACCACGCCTCTCGGTCACGCCTGGTGCGCCGCTCCAGCGCCTCCTGCTCCGTCTGAGTCAGTGTTAGTTCCCGTAGTGTCGCCTCTGCTCGACGCCGGTACTCTACCGGGTTTGTCAGCTCCAGGTCGGGTGTAGCTCTGCCCCCTGGCCATCCTGGCGGGCCGTCTGACCCGACATCATAGGGGACTTCTGCGCCGCCCGCGGCCCAATTTCCGAAACCACCGGGAGGACTGTGTACTGACTGGCCTGCAGTCTCCGTGACGGACATTGTGAGGTTGTTAAAACGGGCCAGCACGTCATCCAGGGCACCCTCGCTGAGATAGGCCATCCCCACCGACAAGGCACTGTGAGCCGCCATTGGCTGAGCGTCCTCCAGCTCACGTCTCTCAGCATTATCGGTTCCCACAGAGGCGCCCACCTCGCCTGATGCAATCGGCACAGCATCGCCAGCGCCCTCCTCACGATCTTGTCTACCGTGGCGCCTCTCCGCGGCAAGAGCTGGAACCTCTGTTGTCGACGAGTCCCCACAGGGGCGGCGAGTTTCGACCGGCGAGTCGCCAAAGGGTCGGCGAGTTCCGACAGATGAATCTACACGGGGCCGGCGGGTTCTGATGGGGGAGTCTCCGGAGTGTCCAGGAGTCACAGCTGGAGAAACTCTGGAGTGCCGAGGAGTCACGGCTGGGGAGTCTCCAGAGTGCCGAGGAGTCACGGCTGGGGAGTTTCTGGAGTGCCGAGGAGTCACAGCTGGGGAGTTTCCGGAGTGCCGAGGAGTCACAGATGGGAAGGCTCCCGAGTGCCGAGGAGACACGGCTGGAGAAACTCTGGAGTTCTCAGGAGTCGCGGCTGGGGAGTTTCTGGAGTGCCGAGGAGTCACGGCTGGAGAAACTCTGGAGTTCTCAGGAGTCACGCCTGGGGAGTCTCCGGAGTGTAGAGGAGTCACAGCTGGGAAGTTTCCGGAGCGCCGAGTCGCGGCTGGGGGGTCCGCTTGGGTGTTGGTTTGCTGAAAACAAGCCATGTCTGTAGTCTTTGTCGGTACTGCAAGATTCTCAGGGAAAAAAAGATGCCTTTCAAGGCGAAAAATCCCGGGCTCGGAAAATGATGGTAATGCTACCAGTCAAGATCAGAATAAAATGAAAAGCGAGTGTGTGAAAGAAAGTAAGCCTCGGGAGTCTATTTAGCTTTTATCAGTTATGCTCGTTCTGCACTGAAACGACTTTGACGCCATGCTCACTTCAATGGTGCTCAGCCATCATCTAACTTGCGCATTCAAGCAGAATAGCATAATGCAGCCAAGGCACAAAGCGGTAAGCCGTCGAAGCACGTCTCCTCCCGACTCGTACCAATATGTCCGCTTCGTATGCTCAAATCCCGTTGCGTACCACCCGAGGTATGTCGATCGCCAGCACGTCGCGGAACTTAGAAACGGGGATGGTGCAGCACTGTAGCGGTGTTGATCGGTGCATCAAAGTATTCGCCGTCGAGTAATCTTCCGTTGCAGCAGCTGATCACGAAGAAGACGAGGAAAAGCCGAAAACACGCCACACCCACAATCGCGCGGAAGAAAATGGCTCGACAAGCCAACGCGATCAGTCCTCTTCTAACTTTAATTGGACAAGAGCATTACTTCTGTTGGCTTCAACTATCCAGTTCCACATGGTCATGCGTTATGTGTACCAGACACACACCAGAGTGTAACAGAAGTGGAACCGGCCTGCTCCAGGATCCAACAAAAAGAAGTGGCATCAGGGTCTCAAGGATCGCAAATGCTTTTTATGCTGTAGCTAGCTAGCAGAGGTGTGATCACAGACAAGTGTTTGCCCCTAGTGGTGAGCAGTGGGTGGATGAGAGAAGGCCAGGCAGGATGACTGCTAAAGCTGGAATAGCCATCTTTGAAGCAGGAATAGCAGCACCTGAAGTAAAATAAGTGAACCCTCAGGCATGAAAAGAACGTCTAAAAATTGAACAGCTGTTCTTAAATCTGTCACAGGCATGCCTCTCACCTTTTGCAGCTCATCAGCAGCCTCCTGACAGTCATTGAAGCTGTATACTCTCCAGGCAATCACACACACCGAGTACACCTGTAACAAAGCATATCAAGCACAGTAAGGTACACAACTGCGACAAAACAAAGCTGACAAGGTACAGGTCTCGCGGGTTTTAGCGGTAGGTTTTGCACCCAGAAAATTTAGTGTACTTCAGGCTACATCTTCGTCGTCTTAAGCTTTTACGTGTTGAAGATGCGATCGACTTGTTGGGTAACAAGCCGGCCATGATCGTGTAAAATAGCTTCATCGTAGATCGATTAGTTTCTGAGATATAACCGGAAATGTAAAAGTGCAAAACCTACCGGTTAATCTCGCGAGACCTGTACCTAACAGTACTGCCCAGGCATCGGTAAAATCCTTTTTGAAAGGATTGCATTCCCAATCCACATTCCTAGTGCCGAAGTGGATTGCATTCCTACCCGCAATCCCCTTTTTTCACTTGGATTGTGATCAAATCCGCAATCCTTTTTTGCAATCCTGTTGTATTATTATGTGCACTAGTGGATCTGGGGGAGAGAGGGGGCATAGGGCCGTGCCTCCATCCCCAAATCACCCATTTCTAGTACCTAGTCTTGCGAGTAATTCCTATCTAACCCGCGACCTGGTGGGGGGGGGGCTATTTTTTGCCACCCCCTCCAGACTTTTCGATATATCTCCAGAACCGCTGCGCCGATCGTCACCAAACTTTCAGTACCCTCCCGGACATCAATTTTACACATTGTGACCAAAAATTTTTCCAAAGTCTATGATAGGTTGGCCGGAAATGACGTCAGAGTGACGTCATGTTCTGCCGTTTTCGACCCAAAAAAGGGTTTCGCGGGAAGAGCTGTCAGGCCTATACCTTTGCAAATACAGAAAAATGATAAAGACATAAAAGCTGTAGAATAAACAGGGCTACAAAACTACTGTCTCGGATTTTTGAAATTTTTGGATTTTGACCCCCAAAAATCAAAAATTAATTTTTTTGGATATATTAATCGAAAAATCCAAAAAGATTTTTGAATTTCGCAAAAAACGGAATATATGTGATAGTCCTTACCGCCTTCCATCCACATACCAAATTTGAGATTGATACCTCTTTTTTTGGCGGAGTTATAGCGAAAAAACTGTTCAAAATTGATGACGTCAAATTTTCAAACACAATTTTCAGCAATTCTAGACCCCGTAGCGCAAAACAAAGACCACCATTAGACTCCCCGTGATGAGCTGCATCGCATCAATACCCATTTTATGCAAAACTATCAACTTTAAAATTTGACCTTTTTTGGCCTGACCTTGACCTGACCTTGACCTGCACTTCACCAGAAAGTGACCTAAGCCGCACCTGATAGTCTTATAACCAACACCATTGAGTTGGAAATGAAAAATTGGCCATAAAACATGCATCACACAACCTAAGTAAAGTTGGTTTCATGTGACCTGACCCGTGACCCTTGGTGACCTGACCTGTGACCTGACCTGGTATTGTCAGTGACCTCTAATAGCAACATATCTACTAGGCAACTGACGCCCTATCGCTGATTCTCGACAAAATGCGTTTTCCTCGGTGTTATAGCGCATTCCCTAGAAGACCCGTGAACGGTGAAACATTTCATCTTTGACCTGACCTGTGACGTCATCGGTGACCCCGAGGTCAATGAAATTTGGTTTCCTTCGACAAATTTGACAGGCCTTTCGAACGCCGTTTGAATTTTGCGGATCCGTCCAGTAGTTTCGGAGATACGAGGGGGGGGGCAAAAAATAGCCCCCCCACCAGGTCGCGTTATAAACAGACCCCACCAGGGCGCGGGCTAAGGCACAGGTATTTTATGGGAAATATTTTTTGCCTCAAACACCCCCACATTTAAACCTCTACCCAACCAGTGTTTTATATTTTTTAAAACTCGCCCTCAAATCCGTAATTTTGCCCTTCCTTTGTAGTTCATCAGCGTATATTATTTTGAGCGTTTAAATTAAAAGCGTTTAAATTATTTCAAGTTTCGATGTTAAGCCCTTGATAGCGAAGTACATTAACCCTCGCCCCGTTGGGGGGGGGGGGCCATTTTGGCCCCCCCTGTGGTTTTTCCTGAATAGCAAGAAAACGGCGGCGCGCAGCGCCGCCAAATTTTCAGTACCTTCCCGGGCATCAATTTGACACCTTCACACCAAATTTCAAGTCTTAGGTTACCTTAGGTCAGGAGTTATTGAGGTCAAACTGAGGTCATGTTCGAGCAAAAATGAGCAAAAAACATGCAATCTTGAAACGCTCACCAAATCTACAGTTATCAAGCAATTTCAAAGTTCTTTATATGGTCTAGTAGACAAAAAGCGGCGCTACAAAACTGCTATCTCGGATTTTCAAAATTTTTGGTTTTTGACAAAAAAATCAAAAAATTGATTTTTTTTAGAAAAACTTTGAAAAAATCCAAAAATTATTCGAATTTCGAAAAAACCGGAATATGTTTGATAGTCCCAGCGCTCTTCTATATACATACCCAATTTCAGATCGATATCTCGTTTTTTGGCCAAGTTATAGCGAAGAAACTGTTCAAAAATGATGACGTCAAATTTTTGAACTCAATTTTTAGCGATTCTAGACCACGTACGGCAAAACAAAGACCACCATTGAACTCCCCGTGACGAGCTGCATCGATTCGATACCCATTTTATGCAAAAATATTAACTTTGAAATTTGACCTAATATGACCTGACCTTGACCTGACCTTGACCTGACCTTGACCAAAACGTGATCTAAGCTGGCCCCAAAGGCTGCCTGACCCATATAATCGCATTTGTCATGTAAAATGGACCATAAAACATGTATCACACGACACTTTCATATTGTGACCCCCCGTGACCTGACCTCTGTGACCTGACCTGGTATCAGTGACCTCAAATAGCAAAATATGTGTTTGAAGAACATTTCCCCATCGATGATTTTCAATGAAATGCATTTTACTCGATTTTACAACGCATTTCTTGAAGTGCCTGTAAACGGTGAAAATTGGACCTTTGACCTGACCTGTGACGTCATCGGTTTGACCTAGGTCAATAAAATTGGGTCACAAGGTAGTTCCCCGTTGGGGCTATCCAACGCCGTTTACCGCTTGTCGCTATGTTGCGTGGTTCTCGAGATCTTAGGGGGGGCCAAAATGCCCCCCCCCCAACCGGGCGCGTTGCTCGGCAGAGCCCAACGGAGCGCGGGTTAACCAGCGCCCAGATGGGGTCTGCCGAGCAACGTGGTCTGATGGGGGGGGCCATTTTGCCCCCCCCCCCCTCAGATCTCGAGAACCACGCAACATAGCGACAAGCGGTAAACGGTGTTGGATAGCCCCAAGGGGGAACTACCTTGTGACCCAATTTCATTGACCTCGGTCAAACCGATGACGTCACAGGTCAGGTCAAAGGTCGAATTTTCACCGTTTACAGGCATTTCAAGAAATGCGTTGTAAAATCGTGTAAAATGCATTTCATTGAAAATCATCGATGGGGAAATGTTCTTCAAACACATGTTTTGCTATTTGAGGTCACTGATACCAGGTCAGGTCACAGAGGTCAGGTCACTGGGAGGGTCACAATATGAAAGTGTCGTGTGATACATGTTTTATGGTCCATTTTACATGACAAATATAAAATGGGTATGGATTCGATGCAGCTCGTCACGAGGAGTTCAATGGTGGTCTCCGTTTTGCGCTACGAGCTCTAGAATTGCTAAAAATTGAGTTCAAAAATTTGACGTCATCAATTTTTAACAGTTTTTTCGCTATAACTTGGCCAAAAAAGAGGTATCGATCTAGAATTTGGTATGTATATTGAAGAGCGCAGGGACTATCACATGTATTCCGGTTTTTTCGAAATTCGAAAAATTTTTGGATTTTTTTTTTAGTTTTTCAAAAAAATCAATTTTTTTGATTTTTGGGGGTCAAAATTTCAAAATTTCGAAAATCCGAGATAGCAGTTTTGTAGCGCCATCTTTTCTCTACACAACCGCATAAAGAACTTTAAAATTGCTTGTTAACTGTAGAATTGGTGAGCGTTTCAAGATGTCATGTTTTTTGCTCATTTTTACTCGAACATGACCTCAGTTTGACCTCAATAACTCCTGGCCGCCGTTTTCTCACTATTTAAGAAAAACCACAGGGGGGGCCAAAATGCCCCCCCCCCCCCATCAGGGCGCGGGTTAAGCCGATGAAGCCGATCTCATAATTTTCAATCGCAACAAACCATTTCAAAGCACTAATCAAATACCAAAACACGCAATCCGGATTGGATTGCAAAAATTGGAAGTACGATGCAATCCAATCCGCAATCAAATCCTGTTTTTTGGAATGGATTTCAAATCCAGGTGCAATCCACCAAAAAGGAATGCAATCAGGATTTTGCAATCCTGCAATCACAATCCTACCGATGCCTGGTACTGCCACACAGTCACAATGGATATTGGATGACAAAGACTGTGGTAAAGCAACACAAATATTAGCACAAATGCACACTGATGAGGTTAAATCACACCATGTAACATAACATGCTATCTCTCAAAATGCAGCCATGTCCTTCATTACTCGATCAATAATTCTGACTATGGATCAGGATGGGGTCTGCCGGGCACTCCACCAAACTCACCCCAAAGGCAGCAATCAGTGCAAATGGGTAGAGCAGCAGAGTGTGCCTGTTTTGGTCTACCCAAGGCGACTGGTAGCGGTTGGTAAGCACCGCCATCCACGGCCCCAGGATGACAGCCGCCAGGAACAGCCAGCGCATTAGCATAGTCATGGTGGCGTCAGCTGCCGGAATAGGCACTGGAGGTCAGACGCGGCTGCCAGGGTGGCTGGTGGGTGCCTGAGTGGGTACAAAACGTAAAGTGCTAGGCTGCTGGACTAAGCTCAGGTTCGACCATACTGAGTTAAACCACATCAATATGTTACATGACATGACCATACATGATACATGTTAAATGCATCAGCAGCCTGACCAAAATCTCAACATTGAATCATTGGTGGAATATGAAAGCAGGGTCCCTGGGGTGATTTGATCAAGGCTCTTGAAATTTGCTCGCACAAATCACCTGACTATTGACCAGTGGAAGGCAGCGAGAGGGAGATAATTTCTTTGCAGTCACATGACTAAATATGCCCTCAGTTTTTTAGTCACATTTTTAGTCAAGCGACTCATTTTTAGTCACATGACTAAAAATGACTAAATGATATTTAGTCATGCAGCCTCATGACTAGATATCTGGGGGCCCTGAGGCCTGTTTTAGGTAGGTAGGTACCGTAAACCGGGGTGACAATGATACCCGGGGTGACTTTGATCATACCTTACCTTACCTTACCTTACTTTGATCAGAATTTTTAAAGGCTCTTTGGCCTGTGGGGTACCGTTCTCATCGAGCTCGAGGCAACTTGAATGTCAAAACTCAGTCAGGCACTGAGTACCTGATGTTTGCCCAGTGGGCGTCCAGCCTGGATTTGAAGAGGTCTACAGAGGCAGCGCCCACGACCGAGAGGGGAAGACTATTCCAGTCGTTCACTACCCGCGCACCGAACGCTTGTCTTCTCGGTCTTGATTCGGCCCTCGGCTTCAGAGGGGTGTTCACGGGCACCGCACACTGCTGCGTGCGGTGTGTGCGGTGCGTCCAGCAGGCGTGGGGGTAGGGGATGGGTAGGCGGCTCTGACGTCACGGCTGCGTGCGGTGGACGGTTCGCTGTGGCCAGTCCCGACCGGCCACAGCGATCGCTGTGTGCGGTGACGGCAGGCTGACGTAGGGACGCAGTGGGCGGAGCTTCGAGGCTGTGTGCGGTCCGACCGCACACAGGGCCCGTGAACAGCCCTCAGGAGTTTCCACGGGTGACCGCAGGTGCGCTGGACTGCTGCAAGAGTGAAGGAGTCCTCTGGAAGCAGGTCCATTCCGCCGTGGAGAACCTGGTACACTTGGATCATATCCCCGCGACGTCTTCGGTAGAATAGTGATGGAAGCTTCAGTGCCTCTAGTCGTTCCTCATATGGCAGGTGTCTGATAGAGCTGACTAAACGAGTGGCTCTCCGCTGAACACGTTCGATCAGGAGTTGGTCGGCTCGGTTAAAAGGACCCCAAGCAACATTACCATACTCTAAGTGGGGGCGAACAAGTGCTCTGTACAGCAGAGGGAGTGTAAAGTCGTCAATATGCTCGAACGATCGTCTGACAACCGCCAGGATCTGGTTCGCCTTTGCCGCCGCCGCCGCTGCTTGCTTTCTGAACTTGAGGTTAGGGTCCACGTGGATGCCCAGGTCGCGTACGGTTTCAGCCACTTGCAGGTTGACCCCTCGCATCGTGTACTGGAGTTGAGCGTTGTGGTGCCTAGGTGAAGAACCTCGCATTTGTCCTGGTTGAAGGGAAGTTGCCATCTGTCAGACCAGGCCACCACAGCATCAATGTCGGATTGCAGAGATGCCGCTTCCGAGGGTGCTGACACGCTGCGGTAGATTTTTGTGTCGTCCGCGAACATTTTCACCATGCAGTCGACGACAGCGGGCATATCGTTGATGAAAGCAAGGAACAGGAGCGGACCGAGGACCGAGCCTTGCGGCACTCCACTTGAGACGGCAGACCAGCCAGAGAGGTGACCGTTGACGGAGACTTGCTGCTTCCGATCGGAGAGAAAAGCATCGATCCATTGAAGAAGGTTGCCTGACACACCAAGACTACGAAGCTTCAATAGAAGGCGCTTGTGAGGGACCGCATCAAAGGCTTTACGAAAATCAAGGTACACTGTATCAACTGGGCTCCCCTGCTCAATCATCTTACTCCAGTCGTCCAGTACCTCAATGAGTTGCGAGTTGCAGGACCTCCGTGGGCGGAACCCGTGCTGATGCTTGGAGAGCTGGTCTGTTGAGCATAGGAAATCCATGAGTTCGTCCCGGATCAGTGATTCGAGGATTTTGCACGGGATCGACGTAAGACTGATGGGACGATAGTTACCAGGAGTTTGCTTGCTGCCTTTCTTGTGAATGGGAATGACCGTTGCCGCCTTCCAAGAGTCGGGAATAACGCCTTGATCGAGAGAGGCACGATAGATGGAGGCAAGTGGACCAGCTAGTGGCCGGGATGCGAGTTGCAAGAGCTTCGGGTGAAAGCCGTCAGGGCCCGGTGCACAAGTCGTCTTCAGGGTCTCGAGCTTCCTCCTCCTCATAGACCAATTTCGGGCCTCAAATGAGCATTTAGCTGCTGTGAACTGTATTTTCTATGCCAATGGTTAAATAAAGCAATGAAGCATTATAGCAGACACTTTGGGTCCCAGTTAGAATAATCATGTTCTTGTCACAGCTTGTTTTTTGTTGTCATTGGCATGAAGTATAAATTCGCTAGCGTCTCCAGCAAAAATAATGGTAAAGATGAGAAAGACCCAGATAAAGAAAGAGAAAGGAAAGGCTTAGATACTGATGATGGAGGATGAGCATTGAGCTGCTCTATCTCAGTGGTAATTGGAGCGTCAATGGGAAGTGAAAAAGACAATCAACTGGGAGGGGCATGAGCAGTGTGGCAATTGGTCCCACAGCCACCAGCAGACAAAGTGTGATGTAGAACAGGTAGCCTGTGGCTTAGGACATCTGTGGCTGTTACTTAATCTTGAAGTCAGATGTTTAAGTAGCTAATTTTGCTGCTTATAGCTCTGTAATGTGAGTTTAGACCCGGAGCATGCAACTTTGTTTTAATGCCTCAATGATTCATAGTTTTACTGTAAAACGTGTGAGTTTTTGTCAAGCAAAGCCTTTGATTTTATTCAAAACATGTAAGTTTATCACACAAGCCCCTCCTGAGGGCTCCTATGGCACACATAAGGTGATTTTAATGTAGTGATCATTGTCACCCCGACCTCTGGGTGAGAATGATCAATTTCTTGGTAAAAAAATAAAATATTTATGATAAATTTCAAGACATTTATTGTACTCAGTTAGATAGAGAATTGTCCAATTGGTATGATGAAACAGTTTCCAGAGTGAAATATCAAGTGATTATACAAGATATTGTACCAAACTGGTCAAAAGTGATACAAAGTCACCCGGTTTACGGGGTTTACGGTACCTACCAAGGCTATGTAAACCGTACCTATCTATGTGCCAGCACAATTAAGTAAGTCCTAACCTAAATGGTGCAAATTCCTAACTGGTTTATAGGGCCTAGTCCTAAATCGTTCACAATTGCAAATTAAATGACATAATCAAACATAAGCACTCACTCAAACAAACTACAGATATCACAAAAAGGTGATATACACAAAAAGGTTCTTGTGAATCATTTACATTATTTTGATTTATGTATACATACTCATTCAAAATCACTTAGCCTTCTCCCACGCAGTACGTCATAAGATCAACAACTGATTTTTTGTTCGCTTGTTTGTTCTCTCCAATTTGGAATTATATTTGCAATGGAGTTTTTCTCAAGTGCTTAAATACTTCAAATCAGGTGCTTGATTAAACTGTATTTTGTAATGATATTCGTGATGACCAAGAGATCCTGGAGAGTCTTATGACGTCATTGTTACCCAAGCAAATTAATTTTGTACTAGTCATGTTTGTCACAGCTGCGCCACGGTAATCCATTCCGGCTACCACGTCAGCTGTTGCACTCAGTCTCTGACATAGGCTTTTAGTTATCTCTATTTATTTGAGCCTAAACATGGGGGTATAGCCTTCCCGTCATTAATTTGTTAAAAATTAACTTAACTAGCACCCTATGCTGGAGAATATCTTAACCTCAGAAGGGTGATCTACCGTGAATCATGCTTTGAGTTTCTTACTATCGCGAGCAGTTTGTCAAACACTGTACAAACGACGGGAGAGCATTGCCATCTACCGCTCACGCATCGAAGTTCAGAAGAATGCAACATGTCGAGTCGCATTCTCAGCATTCGGTAGTTAGCGATCTTTCTCTTCTCCTTCTTCCGTGTAGTGTGCCAAAGTGAATCAAGTGAACAGTGTGCACCCTCCTAGAATGAACAGCCAGGACTATGACTTCGTGCGGAACACTACCCTTCTCTTCTTCCTGGATCGTCTCATCGAGAAGGGGCAGCCAAGGACTCTTCATGACCTCAGCTGCCAGTTTGGAACCAAGGGATTCACGAAGGAGATGAGACAGATTGCTGGTGGATCTCAGTCAGGACTTCACAAGTTCCTCAGCCAGTATCCATCCATCTTCACCATCGAAGGTGACAGTGTCAATGTCACTGATTTTTCCGCAGGACCAGCAGCAAATGACAGTGCAGGGCGTGGGACTCGGGACTATGCACAGGAGGCATCAGACTACTTTAGCAATAAGTTGAGGCAGTATGGACCTGGCACAGAAGTTCCAATAAAATCATTGCTAGGCCACAGGTCTCAGGCTCCGCCAGAGGTTCGACATATCTCTGGACAGCATGTTAAGGAATTCCATGACTTCCTTGCGAGGTTTCCGGATGTGTTCATAGTCAAAGAGGATGTTGTGATGCTCACAGAAGATCAAGACAAGGAAAGACATCCCTATGTGGAAGTGGAGCAGCCCAAAGTTGATGAAGAGCTCACAAGGGACCTTTTAGAGTTCCTGCAGACATGCATATCTGTGAATGGTCCCACAATCATTGATCAACTGTTCAGCAATGTCACCTCATACTTTGGATATGAGAAGTGGTCCAAGCTGTTCAAAACACCCCAGGACTTGTCTACATTCATCAAAATGTACTCTAACAAGTTCTCTGTTCATTCAAACCTGGTGACATTGGTACCTGTGAAAGACAAGCAGCCTGCCAAGGCCACTCCCATCCCTGAGCCTGTCCCTGCAGCACCCAGCCCACCTGCATCCCTGCAGGTCTCCCCACCAACAAACTTCCAGCAGCAGACTCTAAAACAGAGGGTGGGCAACATACTGATGAAGACAATAGCACAGAACACTGAACAAAAACGGAACACGTACAACTCTCAGCTCTCCGGCAGCCCGTCGGATCAGAACCTCGCTCAGCAAAACTTGAAGAATGTGCGGATTGTGGTGAACACGAAGGAGTGCAGGAGTGTGGTGGCCAGTGTGCTGGAGGCGGGCACTCCGATCGGAGTGGATGCGGAGGGGGTGAACCTCGGGCCCACGGGGCCGATGACGATGCTGCAGGTGTGCACGTACTCGGGCCAGGTGTTCATATTTGACCTGCTGGCCAACCGCGACCTGATGGGAGAGGGGGAGCTCGGCAAGCTGCTCCAGTCCGAGAACATTGTCAAGGTACGTTTCGCCAATAATGATCACTGTGGTTCATTAGGAACAATAATGATCTATTACTTCAAAGCTCAGTGAGTCAGTTCCTACAATACTTTTGACCTGCATTCTCCCCGTCTGATGCGTTCCATGTCTTGTTCAATTAACAATGGTGTGTGACTGTGACCTGACTCCACCTGACCTAACCCCGGTGCCCGCAGGTGCTGCATGATTGCCGCATGGACAGTGCTGCGCTCTTCCATCAGTTCGGCGTCACGCTGAGGAACGTCTTTGACACGCAGGTGAGTCAAAGTGCGACGCTTGCACGGTGTTTTGCGCCGCTATCTGAGCCCAGAGGACGACTTAGAATGGATCCTTTTGAGTTGTACGGTGTTGTGCTTTCTCCGCCTCCCTCCTTCGTCTGTGCCCCGTCATCGGCCTGAGGCAGGTCTGTGTCTATTTGTAAGAATCTTGGGCCTGTTGGAGGTGCGGGCTGACGCTCAGGACGAAGTTGACAGTTGACACCAGCAGAATTAGTTTTGTCACATGTTTGGCTCTCAATTTGCCGATAAATTGGCAATGTGAACGGTGTTCACCTTGCCAATTTTTATCGTCGGAATGCGGCGCGCTAATGCTGGCCGTCTGACACGAAGACTGATGTCATTTTTCAGTCGCCAACCGCTCACTAAATTCAACCATGTCGACCATGTCGCACAGATCGCACACGCTCTGTTGCGAGCGAGGCTATTTACATGCATATGATCAGGCGGTTGCCAAGCCGTTTCAATGAGAGAAATGTGAGATAGCTAAGCACTGGCTGCTGTTTCGTAGGGAAGCATACGTACAAAATAACTGTGTCAATGGAGGGCAAATGGTGTTTTAGCCTAGCATTCAGACTGTTGCTAACAACAACGCTAGCGAATATTCCAATGGATATGTTTGCGGTACGTTGTTGAGCGTCACTCAGTGGAGCCTTCAGAGACATCCAAGCCCCATGTATCTCGTTGCTGTATGTCCTGACCCGTTCCCGCTTCGTACGGCTGTGTCCGGTGCGCAAAGCGGACCTCTGTGAACAGACTTGTTTGGTGTCCGTGTCTCGGCGAAAACGGACTTTCTCTCACGACTGATTCTATCGGGCGCCGGCGCCGGCCGGGCTCGTCTCAGACGGATGTGACGGATTCAGACAGAATTACACCTCCCCGCCTGAAAATCCGCCACTCTCCGGATTTAATGAGCTGCTCATTTTCCTCGCTCTATCCTCATTCCCCGGTGTTCAGCACACGAGACTGAGATGTTTCGCTGCGACTTGTGTACGCTACGGTTTATCGGCGCATCGCTCACTGTCTGTAAGCGATCGGGGACACTTTCGCAGCTCGGCGGTCCTCTCCGCGTTCCATCTCAGTCACGTCCCGGCCCTGTCGCGGCGGCTCGCCTCGCGTCTCCGTCGGTCCGTCGGTCAGTGCGCGTCCCGTCGCCAGGGTCGCGCTTCCCACGGACCCGCGGCAGCTGTCGTGTGGGCGGACCGGCGGACTTTCGCTGTTCGAAACCGGTGGAACTTGCCGGGAGCCCGGTCGGCGGAGCCATGGTGATGGGCGTGGCTGCGCGACCCAAACTCCCGTGCCAATTTTGTTGGGACGGTTTTATTCGTGTCTGGTTTGGCGACGAGTTCCACTGGGTCATTGTGGAGTTAAACTGTTGTGGATGGGTCGTTTTTGGTTGCTGGGGATCGCATGACTTGCGGACTCGCGAATCTGACGTCAGACCGCCGCGGGCGCCTGATGTCTCCTCGGGATTCCGGTGGAGTTTCTCCTCGTTCTGCCGGGGGCGGCTGCTGTTTCTGAGCTCTACCGCAGCTATTCCTGCCGGTGTCGACAGCCTGTGCTTGCTCTCCGGTCGGTGGTGTGTGTACTCCGCCCGCCCCTGCCACCACCACCTCCCCCTCCCCGTGCCTCCCCTCGGCGGGTTATTCCCGTCCTCCCTGCTCCGCCCCTCCCCACCGTCTCTCGGCTACACTCATCAGTGTGGAATGTTGACCGGAATAGAGCGGCAGTATGTCGCGACGGTCGGGACCGGCGCCAGCTCGGACCTGACTTGTCACCGACTCTTGTCAGACTCACACGTCCGGAGGTCCGGCATTGTAAGGCATTTCCCAGACATTGTTCTGTGGCGACCCTGACTGGGTTCATGTCTATCTCACCCGCTACCCTCTCCCTCTCCTAGACCTGGCTCGCAGAAACCTCACCGGTCCTGTTTCCTAATCCCTTTCATTGGCCAACCATCCCGTCCCTTTATCCGCCTTCCACCGTGTGCTGGTCCCATCCAGGTAACCTTGATCGCCGTGAGCCCACTGCTGCTCTCTGCGGCGGGTATCAATATGAGACCAACCCAACAAACCTGTCTGCCTGCCCTCGTCCACCGGTGTGTGCTCAGCTCTCGGCCGGACTGCTGACGTCACCACTGTCCACAGAACTCAGTCGCGTGGACACTGGTGTGTCATGATGGGGGGGGGGGGGGTGCAGCGGACGGTCGACGGGTCCTTGGTGGGTGTGTCTGCAGACGGAGCCTCCCTTATGGATGGGTTGATGGGCCCGGGTAGTAAACAAAGTAGTAAACGTGTCCAGTGAGCTTTAATGATCTCATTGAGGCATAGCACCCGTCAGTGGATGGACTCCTGTAGTCCTGTGTGCGCTATGCCAGCCTGGAAAACATCGTACTCGAAGAAAGCAATAAGATATTCGACAGCATCGGTGGACTGGACCTTTGGGGCTCTGTCCTACTCGTAGTGTTCACTAGTGCATTCCGGCGTAACGACGTTTCATCCAAATCGGCGTCATCCATCACAATAGCTGATAACTTCAGGCTGTTAGTGATAGTGTGTGCTGTCATGATGTAGTTCCGTGTCACTGTCCTTCGTATTTGTCTTATCTCTCCACTATTTACAAGGCGTATTTGCTGAGTCCCATTTGCGTTAGTGGCGTCCTTGGCTGTGGCGATTGATGTCCGTTTTTAGGGCGGCCCTCTCTCTTCTCCGATCTGCCTCGGCAGTCACCAGTATCACGGAATGACGTCAGCGCCTTTTGGGGTCATATTCCCGCTGTCAGCGGCGGTAGCAGGCAATGGTGCGTAACGGCCGCGGGTCGGGTCATCCCCGGGCGGTGGGCGGCGGTGACGGATCGGTCGGCAGATCCCGGCCTGGGGTGGTGTATCGCCGGCGGGGTTCCAACCAGCGGTCTGTCCGTCAGTATGTCTTCCTCTCCGCCAGTCTGTCAGCCTTTTCGTCCGTCTGTCTGTTCGTC